ACAGTTTCCGTGGACAATATTATCCTTCGAGCTATTCGAACTGCTTTTTCATAAGCGCTATAGAAATTTGATTACAAGAACAGATTTCGTTCAACTACTTAGTTAGTGTTCTCCGATACGAAAATCAAATCTGATATCTAATCTCACTATTGACAATTGTGCTAAATGGTAATCGTAGTAACCTAATAAGCGTTACTCCGAGTAAGTCCCCAAATGACTCATGCTTCGTGTACGGCGGAAAATGGAGGCGGCTAATGACATGCCATGTGTCTAGCATGTCTCATAGCTAAGTACAATAACTAAACCATCGTTCAGCCAGCCTTGGGGCCAGCATAAATCAGAAATTGATCAAACAAGTCAGTCAAGTGCAATGACAACAGCGCTAATAGCAAAGCAAACCGTTCAGATTGTCATTGGAGCAGGCGGCATCGGGGCGGGGGAGAGACCGAAAGCGACTATCGGACGTATTTCGGCCAATTAGAATTAATAGTTAGAATAATTGTGTGCTCGTTGTATTAATTAATTTTCTGCTAATTTCTTTGTTTGCTTTACAGTCAAAGGTCGCGAATGTAACACCAACGATGACTGCTCGACAACAGAACGAACCAGCTGCGTGAAGGATCCCAGCGACTTCAAGATGCGTTGCCTGTGCGGAGATGACACGCCGCCCTCGTCTGGAGTCTGCCTAGATGTGCTCAAAGGTAGGCAGCGGGGCGAGCGACCCAAAGGGGCGACCGGGGCGGCGGGCTGGGACGGCGCGTGAAAAAGGGCGCCTCGAAATAGAATGCTTTAGCTAGTACGTACCTAATTGGGAGGTGTGCATATCACATTCATTATTTAAAGGGCCAGCTGCTTGGAAGCTATCTGCTTTGTTTGCCAGCGACTCAAGTGTCAAGCGGCTGTAAATGAGAATTAAACAAAGCACCATCTTATATGTACTATGTACATCATTCTTGAAAACTAACATGAGGGGCCTGTTAACTTGCCACGATTTCATATTCCATTTCACAAATGTCTTACGGATGGGTTTTATACACTATCTGGGTTTTCAAAAGGAGAGCGAGAATGACAATGAGAAAAAAAGAGAGAGATAGAAAAAGAGTGAGAGACTGTTTCATAGAGAGATATATACATAGATACATAAATATAATGGGAGAGACAACGTTAGGATAAAGTATAGAGAGACGAATCAAAAGAAAGAGAGAGAGAGTAACAGAGAGATTGTTAGGTAAATATTTTTTTAAGTGAATTTATAAAATTTATTTATTTACAGGTTAGCATACCGATACCATTTTTGGCAACTTAATCTAAACAAAAATGTTAACTAATTTACATACTAGAAGCTACAATCTAGAATAGATAAGTAAATATAAAGGAAAAGAAAGGAAAACAAATAACTAAGTAAGAAATAGCCTTTACCACAGAAAAAAAAAAACTTCTGAAAAATAGATCTGCATAATATATGTAGGTTTATATATAAGAATAATAATACAGATTATATTTGATCACTAATAGTAGTAGTAGTAGAAGTAGTAGTAGCAGTAGTAGTAGAAGCAGTAGTAGCAGTAGTAGTAGTAGTAGTAGTAGCAAAAGTAGTAGAAGCAGTAGTAGCAGTAGTATTAGAAGTTGTAGTAGCAGTAGTATTCGATGTAGTAGTAGTAAAGTAGTAGCAGTAGTATTAGAAGTAGTAGTAGCAGTAGTATTCGATGTAGTAGTAGTAGAAGTAGTAGCAGTAGTATTAGAAGTAGTAGTAGTAGTAGTAGTAGAAGCAGTAGTAACAGTAGTATTAGAAGTAGTAGTAGCATTAGTATTCGATGTAGTAGTAGCAGCAGTAGTATTTGATTTAGTAGTAGTAGAAGTAGTAGTAGTAATATTAGTTAGTAGTAAATATTGTTCAATCTGTTTAAGGAATGGTTGTACTTTTATTCATATTTCGAGTACACAAAACTTGTTTCACATTCATATTCATGATTCAGCTAGAATCTAGAAATCAAGAATTATGGATTCCGATGACCTAACTATAGGCCCTAATGATAGATAAATTGTAGACAAAAATATATTTATTGTTTGCTCTTGCCATTTGCCTGCTGCAGCCCTTGTAGCATTTCCTCTTGCGATGTTGAATGCGACTCCAGACGCGATTCTCTTTATGGTAGTGTAATGCCAAATTTATTTAAGAATGTCGTGACTTGTTACAGCAGAGCCAAGGTATAAAATCGCTGCAGTGCCAATTTGTGACATGCACTGCTCAGAAAATACTCTGCATACATATTACATCTACATGTGTACATGTTTATAATCCGAAACAGGATATTTCAGGCTCGCCATGGCTGTGGCTAAATTATAGCATTCTCATACTGTTCGCATGCCTACAAACATCAAAAGTTCTCAAATGCTGGACTCGTGGCTAGAATCCAGCTCAAAGTCGTTTTCCAGTTGTCAAGTGCTATGTATATATGATTTATAAATATCGATTAGGTGACTTTATAACATAGAATAAGAAGAAGAGATACATATATATAAAAATATATGTCCATGAATAAAATGATGTATGTTATTCATGGGCATCCTTCGTTAGAATCAATTTGAGCTAAGATCATCTAAATAGGAAATGTTTCGGTAAAACATTATAAAGGATATAAAAGGAAAACTCATAATTTATATTTAGAAGTGTACAATACAATTACTATTACATTATACAATTCATATTGAAAATATACCCAGATATTAAATAAATGAATACATGCTTTTCTAAAAGAGTCATCCCAAAACTACCCAGCTTTATATAACCACGTTGAAATATTTAATAGTTAGTATTTAGTTGAAGATATTTTATATGAATAATGAATATTCAGTTTGTCATAGTTACATGATATAATTACTAGTTTTATTTATTTCATTCCTATGAAATATACTAAAATTAAGTTCGATAACGTTTTGTATTTAGTCTCGAATGAAATCTAGATTAGTATCGTAATGGCCTGTGTAATGAGTTTTTTTTTTAGCTAGTTTTAGATTATTGTTTACATTCATAAATGACTAGAGGTTAGGATTCAATCCAAGCAGCGGCCTAGCTGGTATCTTTATATGCGGGATAATTAAACTATAATTTCACATTGATATTTAACCATTCGCGACATCAAAGTAACAGTTGTAGACGGATAATATGCTGATAAGGAGGAATGCGAGTTTTCGCAATACACAGAAACAGATGTGAAGATGTTTTTTAAATTTCTGTCTGATGAAGGTTTCGAATGTCTAAGAGTCTCTATCTATAGTTTATAAAGATAAAATAGCTCACGGCAATTACTCAACTTTGCAGGTCTCCGACATCGATGCCACAGCAATCATGAGTGTGAGGACGGCATGGTTTGTCAATTCGAGAACACCAATCGCACCATCGGGGTATCCAAGTTCATGTCGAGTAAAACCAAGCTGTGTCTCTGCGACAACGACAACGGCTACGTGGAGGACATTTTGCACGACATTTGCAGTGGAGGTGAGATCAATAATGCGACCGATAATGGTTTTCAAATGATAAAGATAATATTTTTTACGCTTTTCGAATTCACATTTTAGCAAACCAACAATATGCTGTAAGTCTTTTGATATCGATCTGCACTCTGCTGGCGCCGTTTCTCTTCTCCGCTCACATGAGCATGAGGAAGCATTTCTAGAAGGCTCCTCGGACCGCAAGGCAAAGGAAATCCGAACCCAGTGCAATATTTACGTTAATATCCATCAAATGTGCCTCAATGAATCAAAAACCATAGTTTAAAAATCTCAATACTCCAATCAAATGATCTCTCTAAACTGCAGTAATCTACTCAATTGGCTAGAAAAATAGATGTTCTCCACAGTATGGCCTTCATTAGCCGAGTGTCGTTATATAATATAAGTTTCATAAGTACCACCGTCAATTTTATTCGCTTCTCACACAAGTCGCGTTATACATATTAATATAAAATTATATTTATATATTAAATTATATAATATTATCTAAAAGTGGTTTTTATAGATTCCATAACCGAACACTAGTCTGTACTTGATATATCAATAACAAATGTTGCCTAAAATGCAATTTAATTCAATTTAATACGTAGCAAGCATTAGCACATGTCTATGAAATAATAGCATATATACATACATATCTTCAATTCAATTCAAATATGTCCTGTAATTCTGGCTAAAACATCTCACAATTTACTATGGAAGCAATCCCGATGTGAACGACTTATAAATGTATGCACATGGAAAAGTTTTAATATGTAGCCCACACCTGAAACCAAAATGATTTTCAATCTTGACTTTTTGCTTTAATTATGAAATAGTTGCATTCAAGTGAATTTTGTACGTTACCGTTAAGAACCTTACCCATTGAAAACGTTTTTTCCGTAGCAGTAAAATTTTATTAAATAAAAGTTTTAAAAATATTCAGAGCGTTTCATTAACTTATTAAGAAATCCTACATTATTTTCTTTTTAATAAAAATACATGTGTTGTTTTAAATACATATAATAAACTTCAAAAAAGAATTTTAAAAAAAATTGATCTCGCCCAACGTGGGGCTCGAACCCACGACCCTGAGATTAAGAGTCTCATGCTCTACCGACTGAGCTAGCCGGGCAGTTGGCGTCAATGTGCCAAAAGTTCTTGAACAACTGGTTCATTTAGAACGTTTTAACCAATTCACAAGATAATAAATAATGCATATTTATTAATGAAATGAATTTGTACTTTGAGGCAAGCATATTTAAAAAATTTGCTTAGTCACAATGTCAACAACATTCGCTTTCGCACGCTCTCACCTTCTAAGCTTTCGAGTGCGGGAGAAAAAGCATACGCACTTCCAATTCCGCAAATAAGTATAGTACGACTTTATGTTCAATGGCATTTCCCCAAGCCCAAAAGCTCTCAGTTGGCATTGTTGGCATACAATAAAAGCTCCGAAGCTTTATTGGTTGCAAGCAAACAATTGCCTACGCTGGCCCAGTCTTATATTTAACGCTTCAATTCGTGGTCTTGGGCGGCTCGAATGAGCTGTGATGTTGTCTGTTAAAAACTAAGTTTTATTTTTGTGTTAATATATATATTTTATATATTTGAAATGATGTGAATCCCAAAGTGTATATGATGCAAATGGCATTACAAAACTTGTGGATCGGTAAAAGTTTTGGCCACTAAATCTGACTTGAATGCAAATGAAGCGATCACCAAAGCCAAATATACGCAATTATGTGCAATTAAATTGACAATAAACCTTTTTCAAATACGGTTTTTTTCCTTTCAATAAACGAGTATAAAAACAAAAATGTTATAAGTCAAGTTGCCGGTGCGAGCAATACAAAGCATTTGTTTTCAATAGAGGCCTAATTATTTTGAACTCAACTAAAAATCTGGGTAAGTTGGCAAAATAATTGACGTCTATGCACAAAAGGGCCTCGCATTTTTCGGTCATGAGATCATATGTTAAATGGAAAATCACAGTAAAGCAAAAAAAAAAAAAGTTAAGTATATAAAGTTCATATTTTATACCGTGCCATTCGAGTAAAGTACCCCAAATATTAAAAAAGCTAACAAAAAAATGTATTTTTACGCACATTATTTGTTTTACTTTTTGTGTTAAGCAAAAAAAAAAAAAAAAAAAAAAAAGAGCATTCAATACGAGTTCTTGTCGTATCTCGTTTCATGCTTAAGTACAATCACTCCAACCTACATTACCCGTATAAATTAAGGGCCACTTCCTTAAACCCAACAACGACCCTATAGCTCATATAAATTCATATTCAGATTGAGTCGATGTAGCCACGTCTATGGGCTTATACCAAATCGCATGCGGAAACTATAAAAATGAATATATAAATGAAAAGCTTTAAGTGTGTTTAGATTTTAAATATTTAAAATATCATTTCTTATACGTCAAATGTGGATTTACTTAGATTAGAAAGAATTACATACTTCTAACTTGCTTCAAGCAAAAATGTTAAGCAATAGACTGGCCATAGGGTAGGGTAGGGCGAAGAAACCATATTCAATATTTGTTAATCTACACACGATACAGAATTCATAAACAGATCATATTCAATTATCAGTCCACAGTTAATGTGTCAATTATTAAAAAAAAATATAAAATGATTAATTGATCAAAATTATAGAATAATTTTATCACTGTGATTAAAATGAGATTGAAAATAATTATGAATACATTTAATATATCTATCTATTTCCATTCAAATATTATTATTATTTGTTAATCTACACACGATACAGAATTCATAAACAGATCATATTCAATTATCAGTCCACAGTTAATGTGTCAATTATTTAAAAAAAATAAAAAATTATTAATTGATGAAAATTATAAAATAATTTTATCACTGTGATTAAAATGAGATTGAAAATAATTATTAATATATTTTTAAAATGTCTAACAATTTCTATTCAAATATTTGTAGATTGTTTGATTGATTTTAAAATGAAGTTTAACCCAGCTATGAATCACGTATATCTAAATGACGCCTTCAAGTCCTCCACCATATCCATCAACTTAAACCTTCCAGAGCAAAGTACCAGTGACTGCAATTTGGGAGCATCATTTCAGGAGTCCAAGGAGCTTGTACGTAAGTTAATTTTAATACAATAACCAATACTAAAATATTACTGACAACAGAAATGTAGAGAATGCATATAAAGAGAGATATATATAATTAAAGAAAGAGATATCTATATGACCATGCCTAACGAGTAAAATGAGGCTTAGTGTGGAAGGGTGTGTAAGGAGGTTTTATATTTATTTATGTGATTCGTTCAGTCTTAATTGACGTTTGTTTAATTACCGTTTTGACATTAACTAAACCTTTATATAAGCAGAGTTTTGTTTTATTATTAATTAACGAGTTGAAACTTTAGCATTGCGACCTAATATCTCTCATTCCCTTTAGAAATATTTTATATATTTTTGCACAGCTGTAAATAAGAGCTCAAGTAAGATAGGCTTCCGCCATAGAGGGAAAATAATTATTGATGTTCTCATAAGATACACCCAATTTACCCTTGACAATGAAACGTGTGCATGTTAAATACAAAAATACTATGAACAAAAAACAATAGTAATTGCTGTACAATAATAACAGAACGTAAATCAACTCACTAACATAGCGAAGCTTAGTACGTGCCATTATGAATTATAGTGAACGTCACATTACGGTTTATTATTGTAGAATATGTATGTATATATATGTATCTACATATACATATATACTGCTTACTTATTAGCTTTTAATTCAAGGTCGCATTCTTCGTTCCAGTGACAGAAGATGGCCGAAAGGTGCCCCCAGCTGCGAGCCGAAGTATTCTGGACAGGTCGAGAAGCTGTTTCGAGAACTGCAAAAGGCGCCTATTCAATAAGAGGACGCTGCACAAGCGCCTGCCCATTCTGCGCTGGCTTCCGGCGTATAGAAGCGAGGATGCCATTTGTGATCTGGTAGCCGGCATAAGTGTCGGACTCACAGTCATTCCACAGGCGCTAGCCTATGCGGGAATTGCAGGTCTTCCTGTGGCGGTAAGTAGAGACATAGTTCCGATTTAAGTTTTGTTTGCAATTTTTACATTTTGATTCTTTTAGTATGGACTGTACTCTAGTTTCGCTGGCTGCTTCGTGTATATATTCCTGGGCAGTTGTAAGGACGTGCCGCTGGGTCCTTCAGCTATTGTTGCGCTGCTGACGTATCAGGTGGCGCAGGGCTCCTGGCAGAAGTCCGTGTTGCTTTGCCTTATGTGCGGAGTAGTTGAGCTGCTAATGGGCCTGTTTGGGCTGGGTTTTCTCATTGACTTTGTTTCTGGGCCGGTGGCGTCAGGCTTCACCTCAGCCGTCTCGCTGATTATCCTATCCTCACAAATTCAGAATGTGCTGGGCATTAAGGCCAATGGCAATACCTTTGTGGAGGTCTGGAGGCAGGTGTTCGCCAACATACAAGACTCGCGACCGACGGATACTATTCTAGGAATCACGTGCATTGTGGTTCTCCTGATGCTGCGCATGCTCTCCTCATACCGCATTGGACCTGCACCGGATGCGCCGCACTCGCGCTGTCAACGCGTTGCCAACAAGCTCTTCTGGATTGTGGGCACGGCGCGCAACGCGATTCTGGTCGTCGTCTGCTGCATCATGGGCTACCTGCTGCACAGCGACCAGCATGGAGCGCCTTTTCGCATCGTAGGCGAGATACCCCCGGGCCTGCCCAGTGTGCAGTGGCCCCCCACATCTCTAAGCGCCAACGAGACCGCAGACGGCAATCCGCAGGGCTTCGTCGACATGGTGCACAGCATTGGCTCCGGGCTAATAGTGATTCCCCTGATCTCCCTCATGGAGAGTATTGCAATTGCAAAGGCTTTCGGTGAGTGCGTCGATGAAATCCTAAGTCCAATGATTCACTAGCTGAGCTTTTTCAATTATTTTCAGCCTTTGGCCAGCCCATCGACGCATCCCAGGAGCTCATTGCTATCGGCACAGCCAATATACTGAACTCCTTCATGCAGGGCTTCCCGGGCACCGGTGCCCTCAGTCGTGGAGCTGTCAACAATGCCAGCGGGGTTCGCACTCCACTGAGCAACGTTTATTCGGGAACCTTAGTCATTGTAGCACTGATGTTTCTTACGCCGTACTTCTACTTCATTCCTAAGGCCACGCTGGCTGCAATTATAATTGCCGCGGTTGTCTTCATGATCGAGATCAAAGTATTAAAGCCCATCTGGCGTTCCAAAAGTAAGTTAACTAACAATTCGAGCTTATACTTTACGATCTCTAGTGAAATGCTATTGCAACAGATACAAAAGTTTAATGTCCCGCTCAATTTTAAGAAGAACAAAGCGAAGTGCAACCTGAAGCTGAATTCGAAATTCAGGCCAAAAAGGTTATTAACTTCCTGCCGAGAGCTACCTGAGTTTAGGGTGCTTCAACTTCAAAGCTCTTAATCAATGATTGCTGATAAAGATAATTTCAAGTGTTTTCAGATTGGCATGCGTTAACTCAACAGCTTTTTTACTGTTGTGCAATAAAACTTTCCATTAATCTTGTGAAAACTTGTCATAAAAGGCAAGCCTCGCTTAAAATTGTATAATTTTCGCGGAATAAGTGGTTCGTTAATAAATAATTAACTAGGCGATACTTAAAATTCATTGCTATACTTTGCAAGTGATGTGCTGTATTTAAATGTGCTGTACAAATATTTATGTGTATGTCTTATTGAATTGTATTGAAAGTATTTCATTATTTTCCCACCCGTTTTTAGAAATAGCTCTTTTCATTTTCAATAATTTATTTCAAGGGCCTGAGCGAGGACATTGGAAAAGGGAACTCAGGCTAAAATGGTATTGTTAAAATAAATGCCATATGTATAAAGAGGCGTTGCATACCCCTTAAAGTTTAAATATATGTAAATATATTCTTGATCAGGTCGACGAACTATTTATTAATTATTATTAAAGCTATCTCTCTAGATAACTAACCTCTTAATCTCATTATCGATCAAAATTGATCCTTTTATTTCCATTTTTAAGATTAGCTTAAATACAAGATTGATCTATACATATACATATATGAAGGATATACCCCTCCCTCTGTTATATTTTAATTTAACATGTATTATTATTACTATAATTTTCTCATACAGAGAGTGATCTGGTGCCGGGAATTGGAACCTTCGTAGCTTGCCTGGTGCTGCCTTTGGAGTGTGGAATTCTCATTGGAATTGGAATCAATGTTATTTTTATATTGTACAATGTGGCTCGTCCGAAGTTAAGCTTCGAGCTTTTGTTAACCCAATCAGGCATAGAATATTTGATGATTACACCCGATCGTTGCCTAATATTTCCTTCAGTGGAATATGTCAGAAACTGGGTTAATAAACACTCCATACGCCAGAATGTGCCTGTCGTCGTCGATGCGTCGCATGTTTATGGAGCTGACTTTACCACGGCCACCGTTGTTGGTTCCCTAATCAGCGATTTCCAGCAGCGACAACAGTTACTATTCTTCTACAATCTGAAGCCAACTATCTATGAGCTGTTCAAGCAAGTATCGGCAGCTCAGCTTGTGGTCTACTATCAAGAGCATCAGCTTGAAAATTTACTAAAGGAACGAAACTATTCACAAAAATCAGATCCTGCATAATATTTCAGCTAAATTTGCTTATTTAAATAGTATATAGCATGATTAAAATTTAAAATAATAGTAATTTATAATATACAATTATTTATTCTCATTATTTAAAAGATTACTAAGAATAAAAATTAAAAAAAATAAAAATTGTATGTTTAATTATTATTATATTTTTATTATAATTATTATTATAATTATATTTAACATACATAAATCTGAGTTTCCTTCGCTAACACTATATGAGAGCTAAAAATAAATTTCATTTAAATTAAATATAATTAAAAAAAAAAAAAAGCTGCAAAAATGTTTATATATTAATACATTTTTGCATTTTTCTGTACATGTATGAATGCATATATGTATATTTAGTTTTTTTTTTCATGAGATAAAATATTTGCCGATAGTCGATATATACATAGATATCGATATACCAGTGATACCAGCGCTCTAAGCGTAAAATTTCGCCGTTACACAGCACTAAATATAAAACGTGCTTAGGTATTTTTTAGCACATTCTCGCCAAAACACATTTCTTGTATTGTGCCGCGTTATTTGCTTTTGCCCATAATAAATAATAAACGAAATGAAGCGATTAACAGATGAACGTACAAAGATTCTCTTTGAGAAGCTTGCTAAATAGTAAGTAGGTTAGATGCAAGTCAATAGTTGGTTATAAACTTCCATTCGTTTTCAGCATTGGAACAAACGTGCAACAACTCATAGATAGGCCGGATGGAACTTATTGCTTCCGCGAGCACAAAGATCGTGTTTATTATGTCTCTGAGCGCATATTAAAGCTAAGCGAGTGTTTCGGCTACAAGCAACTTGTGTGCGTGGGCACCTGCTTTGGAAAGTTTTCGAAGACAAATAAACTAAAGTTCCATATTACGGCGCTTTATTATTTGGCTCCCTATGCACAGTACAAGGTTTGGGTCAAACCTTCCTTTGAGCAACAGTTTCTTTATGGCAATCACATACCAAAATCTGGCTTGGGCAGAATAACGGAGAACGCTGGACAGTACCAGGGTGTGGTTGTGTTTTCTATGAATGACTTGGCTCTAGGATTTGGTGTTCTTGCCCGATCCACTACTGAATGTAAAACTGCCGATCCGCTGACGACTGTTTGCTTTCATCAGTCTGATATTGGCGAATATATACGCGCTGAGGATACACTTTTTTAATTTTAATGGAAATATGATGTTAGTAAGATAGTAAACTTTTACTTATTGTATAATTAAGCGAAAAGTAAGTCCACTAAGAAATCGTTATAAATCGCATCCTGTATAATATAAAAAATAATTACAAACTAAAATTCGTTTGTTCGCAAATATAAAACTTTAATAAGAAATAACGACTGTCAATATAAAGAAATAAGTTATAAATTTACAATTAGACAGTTCTTTTTAAAACAACGAATGAAAAATAATTTCATAAACGTATTTACCTGGCATTGGGCTTATGTATAATCGTAGAACAGCAATTAAAATGTCAATTTGTACAATATTCAGAATTTTTGATTCGATATTTAAAAATACTTGTCACCGATAGCTTCCATCACGATAATGGGCAATTTAACTTGTCAAGACTTCGATTAAAGAAAATGTAGCAAATGAGAGTAGGAATCGATTAAAACTTGACTATGTTTTTCGAGTTGCAGTGTATCGATATTTGCATGTCATATATAAATTTATTCAAGGAATGCCATTAATTTACTGTGCAACTCTGATTTCGGGAAACCAACAGTTGGGATAAGTAACGCGTATCAGTTCAGACATTGGCATATACATATGTATATACATATGTTAGATTTCTGGTTGTCATTTGTGTATCACCAATAACACCGCCGGTTAATTGGCTCATAGGCTGCAAAGGTCCCATTAATGGCACAGCAGATGAAAACAGCTGCAATATGGCTGCTATTATGGCTTCAAAGTACTGCCGGTGGTATGAAATCTGCAATTAAGACACCCCATGCACAAACAAAGTCTGGGTGCTGACTCACCTAAGCCGCTGTCTTATTTTTTCTTTTATTATTCACAGTTCTGGGTGAGCGGACGCGTGAGAAAATGTATGAGCCGATTCTGGGCGCCAGTTGTTTCCGACGCTTGAACGGCACCCATCAGACAGGATGCTCATGTAAGTATTGTGTCGGGGAAGGTGGGTGAAAGAAAAATCTCTCATATCTATATCTTTGCCATTGCAGCGACATTTTCAGGATCCGTGGGCGTATTGCACCTGATAAACACTGATGCAGATTTGGAATTTTTGCTCAACAGTCCCCCCTCTCCGCCGTATGCTCCACTGATACCACCTCATTTGTTTACGAGGACAAACCTGTTACGCCTCAAGAATGCTGGCCCTAAAACAATATCTGTTGTGCTGCTAATAAACAGATCAAAAAGAATGACGCAGTTTTCGCATGAACTCAACTGTCCCAATCAGTACAGTGGACTCAAATTAAACAACAGCACAGAGACAGTCACCTGTGATGCAAGCAATGTAGCCAATACCTGGAATCGCTGGGGCACTGGTCTTCTGCACGAGGACTTTCCGTTTCCCATTTACTATATAGCCGATCCTGAGGAAATCGACAAGCTGGAGGAGTGCTTCAACAAATTTAACAACTTTGACTACGAATCGCATTCATTACGTAGCTTATGCGCTGTGGAAATCAAGTCCTTTATGTCAGCAGCTGTTAACTCTGAAGTGTGCATGCGGCGGACGAATTTCATAAACAACCTTGGAGGTAGTAAATATTGCGATCCCTTGGAGGGCCGGAATGTGTATGCAACATTGTACCCGCGTACACCAACTGAAAGCTTCGATGTTGATGCTACAGAAAAGTTTATTATAGTATCATGCCGCCTGGACACTACAAGCATGTTCGATGGACTGGGTAAGTGCAGCAAGCGTCCCTTGTTCTCTGTTCTTGTTACTGACAGTCCCACTTTCAGGGTTGGGCGCCATGGATTCGCTGCAGAGTCTGGCCATTCTTACCCAGGTGGCGCATATGCTCCACAAACTATTGCCTTCTGCGAACTCGCAGCCTGATCCAAAACGTAATGTGCTGTTTCTGGCATTCAATGGCGAGTCCTATGACTACATTGGCTCGCAGCGACTCGTTTACGATATGGAAACCTTGGCCTTTCCTTCCCGCTCCACACGCACAACGCCCATTTCGTTTGAGAACATCGAGTTTATGCTAGACATTGGCACCCTCGACGATATAGGCAACATAAAGCTGCATACACTTACCTCGACGCCGCCCGCTCAGCAACTGCTGCAAAAGCTTAACCAATATGCTAAATCATCCCGATATGGTTTTAATGTGAACATCGAATCAAACGTGGGCTATAACATACCACCCACATCAGCGCAATCGTTTTTGCGGCGCGACCAAAAGTTCCCGGCCTTGATTTTAAACGCTGCGCCTAACAATAGATACTATCACTCCATATATGATGATATTGATAATGTCGATTATGTCTATGCCAACACCAGCCAAGATTACACAAAGCTGGCTGATGTGAACGATGCCAAAAACATCAGCTGGAGCTCTTTGCAAATGAAGGTGCGCAACGTGTCCTCCATTGTGGCAATGGCGCTTTACGAGACTTTAACGGGTAAACAGTACCAAGGAAATCAAGTGGCCAATCCACTGTTGGCAGATGAATTCTTCTACTGCTTTCTGATGTCCTCGGACTGTCCACTTTTCAAAGCTTCCTCATACCCGAACAGTCCAGCAGGTGTGCCGTTGCCGCCAATGCGGTGAGTTTTCATGCCTACACTTCACATTGTTCAATACTAAACACAAACTTATCCAGATACATAAGTGTGCTGGGTGGCTCTCAGGAATCATCGGGTTGGACGTATCGTCTATTCGGCTATCTGCTGTCGCACCAAGAGCCGAGTGTGCCAAAGGAGAATTGCACTCAACTGCCACTGTTCTATTTTGCTAGTCTGAATGGCACTGGAGAGTGTCGTTGTACAACGCAGAACTATACACATGCATTAAGTCCTGCATTTCTCATTGAAGGTAAGGGGTGTGCTTTTTTAGAGACTGCCAGTCCCTAACACCGATGCCTTTCTATTGCAGACTACGATTGGCGTTCAGGGCAATATTCAACGTGGACTGAGTCAACTTGGTCGCAATTCAGCGCCCGAATCTTCTTACGTCCGTCCCATGTGCATGAAGTCACAATTTTAAGCATTGGCATTGTGGTGTTTATAATTTCGTTCTGTTTGATATATATTATCAGTTCGCGGTGGGAAGTGCTCTTTGAGGATTTGCCTGCTAGCAATGCGGCGTAAGTTTATCAGCATAGTTATCTCGTTACGCCTCTCATTACACATCTGACACATCTCAGTAGCCTTAGCGGCTAAGTGGATTGGCTCATATCTCATTTAGCAAACTCTTTTTTGTATGTTGTTTATCAATTCAATTAATTACTTTTTTAATTTTTCAACTATTTTATGTTACTTTTAGATTATTTAATTGATGATTGATGTTATTGAAGTTGGCCCTGCAGCAAAAGCAACCTGAACGCATTCATAACTGAACTTTCATCTGTGCATGCAATTCTCAATTCAATATAATTAGTGGCTCTATAGAAATGTATAAATAACCTTATTTGAATTGCAATTCTAGACTGCCAATGCCAACTGCTTGTTAGGAGCAGGATATTCGGGAAGCTCCACTTGTTAACTTATAAAAGACAAATCTAAAAAAAACACCAATTACTTCATAATAATAAACTATAACGATGAAGTAATACCCAAGACAAAACCTCTTACTAATAGACTATTGATATTCTAATTGTTTACTTTAAGTATTCGAAAAACATATTTATTTATATACATTTTTGTACTACAAAACACGTAATAAGCTACTAGTGTGTATTTATAACATAAGCAATTAAGTGTCGTCGTTTGCTTTATATAAGAATAAATAGCAATAAACAATTATATTGAGCTAATTGGTCTGACCACTATAGTAGTCAGCACCTAATTCAAATGGAATACTTGAGTTTTTATCATATAAGTATATCAAATATTAAGTCTATGAATATAATAGACATTTTCGTAAAAGTATCTTGTCTCTCACAGCTCATTGTTTATCCCCAGTGGGTGATCGTTCTAACAGTGTCCAGCATTTGTATAAATTTCCATAAAATAGTGTTGATTATTTTAGCCATCCCTGTCTCTTCAAATTGACTATCGAATCTGCAATAACATTCTTGGATGATTTCATGTATCCGCCGCTAAGCAACATAACAATGGGTATATTCAGTGCTCGAAATGTACTAAAGACCAAGCGGTCGCGCTCTATAACTCCGTCTGGAGTAATCGCTAAATTGCCTAGAGGATCGCCTTTGAGAATATCGGTGCCGGCATTATAAACAACAATATCTGGCTTAAATTCAGCAAGTGCTCGCATCAGACACCGGTTCAGTTGCTTTAGGTAGTGGGCATCTTCGGTGAGATGCTTCAATTCAACAGCACAACGAATGCTCAGCTTGGCCTCGTTATCCTTTGGATAGATATAGGCATTGTACATATCAAGTATGTATACCGTCTCAGTGTCCTTAAAGTCCCGCTCATGCCCATTGCCCTGGTGCGCATCCAAGTCTACAATCATTGCGTTTCGCACTCTCAACGGCTCCAAATCAAACAAACGGACAAGCAACAGAGTAATATCTGCATAGGGACAAAAGCCACCACCCTTGGACGAGCAGCAATGATGGAAGCCGCCGCCTAAGTTGATCGCCCAACCATATTCCAGGGCCAGTTTGCCAGCCAGGATGGAGCCAGCTGTTTGGTAGCGCATTGGTCGCAGATATCCACTTTGCACTCCCACATTGGGCACAAATATGAGAACCGGAACCTCCGCAATGGTAGCCACCTTGGCGCTCCATTTGAGGGACCTCAAATACTTTGGAGTGTGGACTCGCAATAGTTCCTCCTTGGTAATCTCAAGGGGATTGTAGAAATCGCCGCATTCCAACGACAGTTCCGCACAGAGTAACTGAAAATAAAATGTACTTAATAGCTTTTTAAATTATGCACACATATACAAATACATACATGCATACATAAATATGAGCTTACCTGTTGTATATGCTTTCCCTTAGCTGCATCAAAAGGATGTAACTTTTCAAGCCCACCAAAGCGCACAGCATATTTTTTGGAGTACACTATAGGCAACTTATCACGTGCCTCCGGAGCCTCACGTTTCATTTTTGTTTGTAATTGTCTTTAGTTTTCTATTTAACAAATTCCGGACTGACTTTATTAAGTTCTGCCATTTTCAAGATTGCGATTTTATAGTTGAGTGACACGACATTATTACGCAATATTTTATTTGAAGCTAGTTGATATACATTTATGCTTTAGACTTACATACATATATTATCTTATATTTGCTAATAATATAATAAATGTATATGCTTGGACTTACATCAGTGCCGCTATTTTCGTTTTGTAATTTGGCTATCGATAGTTCACCAGTTGTTTATCACAAAAGCTTGACTGTCATCCCAGCTCAATGCATTTCCGATACTTTGTTGAATCGATATTTGTCTGCGCAATCAATGATTTGAATTTAACGAATCATTACAGTATTCAAATGTTAGTATTCTTAGGCCACATTTGGTTTCTATAATATACGTTACGCTCGTGTAGGTCCTGTAACTCTCGAAAATTGTTAAGCAGAGGCCTGCCGCGATCATCTGACAGGTTCCACAGGTGTTTCAGCTGTAGTGTGGTAACTAAATACTGATGTAATTGAATTTACTTTTTTTTTCGCTTACATATCGCTTGGAAATTTCAATAGGTTTGGGGAAAACAAACCAGTTGACAACTTCAGAACATGGTGGTGTGGTAAGCGAGCCTATGGGAAAACACCATTATTGCATACTTTTTGGCGTTGAAAGCATACATACCTTGGTATGTAAAAAACTCTTGCCTTTCCATACCAGCTAAAATATCCCTTAATGAAAACTCTCCTTTAAAGGTTGAGGACATATCATATTTTTTGACTTGACTTGCCTCCATGCAGACTTTATTCAAAGCTTTAGGATTAATTACAGGTTCCTATACATCAAAAACATCATATATATAATAATATTAATAATAATTAATAATAATAAAATATTACTTACAGCCGCTATCTTCAACATGAGCCCCAATACTACATAGCCATCAGGAGCACAGAGGGCTTCCTTTTTAGTTCCGTACGCACAATTTTGATGAACAATATGCATCTCAGCATCGTAGCGAGAAAACTCAATTTGATGCTCCGATCCTTCGCTATGTGGTGAGCCCCAATGGAAGTGCAACTGCACAGCTTTATATATACTCTCCAGCATGCATCCGCACAGAGCTGGTTGACTACCATCGGCTCCGGGCGGTATCACCATAGTTATGGTATGCCCATTATTGGTGAGCTTCAAGGGGCTGCCAAATGTCTTGTCATAATTGACAAAGGTTAACCTTGGGGCACTGGATCTAACAGCCTAATAAATACGTGTGCATTTACTAAGTTATCACAAAAAGTTGATCCATTTACTTTTTCTTTAGCCAATGAAATAGGCGACTGTTGTTTGCCGGCCTCCACTTTCCAGTCTTTTCCATTTTTATCATAGTTGAAATGGCTTAGTTTTGCATAGTTTCTCAATACATAATTCATTTGAAAATCTAAAAATGGTTCTATGGCAATTTGAAAAAAAAAACTAATAAAATTCTAAACTGTAAGACTTCAATTTTGACATTAATTATATCCTGATTATATTTAAAATGGGAAATGTAATGGAAAATGCATTTTCCGATATACCAGAAATCATGTTAGTTAAAAAGCTAGAATGCTGAAATTTGGAATGTAGATCCGCATCGACCACCCAAGATCACGAACTATGGCGGATATATCTCCGCCCATTGGGGGCGTGGCAAATCGGATAAAACTGTATCTTCAAGAGTTTTACAGCTAGAGCGCTGAAATTTTGCACGTCAGCTAATGCTATGATTCTATAAAGTCTGAAGATAAAATTATAAGCCTACGCCTATTAGGGGCGGCAAATCGGACCTGAAGATATAGTAATTTTTATATTCTGCTATATTTTGGACACTATTGATGGCAGAGACCTCAAATTTTGTATATATACTCGGGCTGATCACCCAAGACCAAAAAGCTTTGTCGGATATATGTACGCCCACAGGGGGCGTGGCAAACCGCAAAAGTTTATATCTCCTAAAGTATAATAGCTAGAAGCTTTAAATTTATAGTTGAGTTACTGGTAGCCTCCTCTATCGATGCCCCAAAAAATAATTTTTACGTCTTTTTAGGGGCGTGGCATATCAAAAAATACCTTGTAATTTTCACATTTTTTGAGCGTAAGAATTCAAAATTTGCATTTAGGTTACCGGTTGTTTGTCATTGCAGTTGAATTAAAACTACATAGATAGTTTTTTAGGTCAATTCTCTATGAATAAACCAATCGATAATAGAGTGGAACTAACTAAACTAAAAAATTATTTATATTTTATTCAATATAACTTATTGTGAGCAATAATAATAATTCTATATAAATAAAAAGTAAAAATTCTCTAACAGAGGTTATGAAGCAATTAAAAAGAATGTATACAATTCATTTAATAGCATGTAGTACAAAGATTTATGTGTTAACTAAATATGTTTTAATTAATAGGTTGCCGGCAAATTTTTGAATAATGAAAAATGTTGATTCGTTTTCTTGCATATGTTCCAATACTAGAGTTATTTTCTTCAGAGCACATTGAAAGTATTGAACACCAATATAAGAATATTCACCCAATTCAGTGGGGAAATTCTTAAGACTCTACATAGTTTAGGGTGAGAGGTGTGCCTATAAGTATTCGGGGAAATACAAAATGTAGGGACTTGACCACTTTTGCAATGGCATTGCTTTGCTTGCCATGGTCGAACGCGCAAGTAATAAGGAGTTTTAGTCAGGTCAATACTGTAAAAACATATCTACGCAATAAAATTAATATTGATATGCTTACTCATTTTATTTTTATATTTTAAGCGTCCGGTAAAACCTGACGAAAAACAGCTTTTTTTGCTCAACAAAAGTTGGCAGCACTGGTCCTACGCGCCTTTGCAATCTTTTGCAAAATCTGAGACCTTATAATTCTCAAATGGTTACAGCTTATCACGAGTACTATCAGTATTGCGATGTTAGTAGAACATCAAAGCTGTGATGATGAAAAGCCATGGGGAGGGGTCTATCATCATTTTACGCGTTCAGTCTGGTTGGTGGGCTAGTAAACTAGCTAGGAAATAACGAAATACAATTTTTAAAATACACATTAGAGCTGCAAATCCATCGATGGTAGCTCCACTCGATAATTTTCCCGTCGATAGAAAAAACTATCGACTATATCGATGGCTCCAACGAAAATTTAAAAAGCTGAAAGAGAATATTTTATTAAAGTTGAATACTTAACTTTTGAAATATTTTTGTACCCTGAACTAGTGATGGCAAAATAAAAATCATTGTTCGATTATTTAATCAAATGATTTATTTTAGGTGCTTTAAAGATTAATTGCAATTAATCGCGGAAAAATGGAAAAATCGATTAATCAAATGGTTTTTTTTGAATGCGCTTAATTTATTTTTTATGAACTCCTTTTAGAAGCAACAAGAATATAAATGTTTATTTATTTCAAACTAGCTGGCCCGGCAAACGTTGCATTGCCCTCTATATTATTTCTAGGTAAAAAATTGTTGAAAGCTATGTTGTTCAGGTTGGGATACACTCTGATTAATTTATTAATCGGATTTTCATTCAAGCACCTTGTGGTAAACGACATTCTTCATTTTTTGGTCAGGTGCAAGAACAAATAATGCGGATGGTTTGCCAACACGTGAGCATGCCACGTACAATTGACCATGAGAAAAACACGCATTTTCTAGATTGAGGCCACAAATAGTCAAAGATTGGCCCTGTGACTTGTTGATCGTCATGGCGAAGGCAAGGTGAAGCGGGAATTGAATTCGTTTAAATTCAAAGGGCATATCTGTTGAGATCATCGGAATCCTAGGAATAAGAACTTCCTCATCTTTAAATTTTCCTTTGAGTATCGACGCGTGAATCACATTGCTCATCAGTTTTCTTATTACCAAACGCGTTCCATTGCACAGTTTTGGTTGGTTTAAATTTCTAAGCATGATAACTACCGAGCCAACCTTCAGTTGTAAATTGTGCGGTGGTAAACCAGGCACATCCTAGGAGTTCAAAAATTCAGTTGGATAATTAGTGGCTTCTTCTTCGTTTGTTACACAGTCGATAGATTTGAATGAATACAGAGTACCAACGATTTTATTTTGAATTATAAAATTAAGGTCATCCACATATTTATTTTTAGCCGCCAAAATTGCTCGCTCACTTAACCATTTAGTATTTTTGTGGAAAGCAATGATATTCGGAAATACTTTGTTGATAAGTTCATCTTTTGATGAGACGAAAATGCAAAAATTTTTAGGAAATGAAATCAAGCCACTCGATTCGTCAACAGGAATACGGCCATTACCGATATTCAGCAATTGCTTCGAGAAATCATCAGCAGATAGATCGTTCAACAATGCAACTCTCATATTTACAGACAGTTTAAGTTTGGTTACATATCGCCACAGATTTGATGCTTTGAGGCAAGCGTTTATTTCGTCGGCAGCAGTAGATCTTGGAATTACCGGTAGTGTTTGTCGGAAATCGCCAGATAATAAAATCATTGAACCACCAAAACATCTCGAGTCATTACGCAGATCTTTTAATGTTCGGTCTAGTGCTTCCAATGCGCGTTTGTGCGCCATAGTGCATTCGTCCCATATGATAATTTTTGATGCTACTAAAACTTTGGCCATTGCGGAGTGTTTTGAAATGTTACATGTCGGTTGTTCAGTAGCTTGAAGATTTAATGGCAATTTTAACACTGAGTGAGCCGTACGGCATCCGTCTAACAATGTGGCCGTTATTCCAGAAGAAGCAATTGCTACCGCAATTTCGGATCTCGCACGTACAGTTGCCAAAATCAATGACATGAGAAATGTCTTCCCAGTTCCACCGGGGGCATCCAAAAAAATAAGCCACCATTTCCATCATCAATTGCATTAATCAGTGTATCATAGATTTCCCTCTGCTTAGGATTCAACAGTGGTACATTCGTTTGAACTGATTGCATTAGTTCATGTGGATCATATTCACGTTCACGTTCTAATTCTCTATTAAATGCGTTATTCATTCCGCGATCTGGCGCTGGCATTCCTAACCTATCTAACAAACTGCCGCATATGAGGTAACACATATCTTCGATCAAAAGCAAGGCCTGGTTATGCATCTCCTGGTTCGCCTCAAGATCGGGATTTCTTGAGTTGATACGACTTCGATATAAAATGTCTTCTGACATTTTATCTTTGTATTTGTTCCACAGTTCACGTGGTTTCGATGGGAAGCATGTTGAAATGATGATTGCAAATAATGTGCGTATCTGACTTGAAGATGCAAAAATAATAGCTTCAGCGATTGTCGTCTCCCAATGAGTATCGTTTTCAAGCAAATTCAGCTCTTGACACGCTGCACGAAATGTGGGGCACACTATACCATTAACAGTTCGTAGTAAACATCTGCATGGATGTATCCAAAAGGGCTATTGAATCATTCATTAAAAAAATGAGCACACTTTTTTACTGTACATTACAAAATGAGTTCAACATTAATTTGTACAACATTGTATGTTAACAGATGCTGTACTCACTCAATTTTATACTGTACAGTACGAAGTGAGTACACTAAAAAATATTGTACACTGCTTTAACTGTACACTATTTTGGTGTTCAGATAACTTACTGTACAGTGAGTTGTTATTACAAAAATCAGAATTTCATATGCAAGAAAAAGATAGTCAATATACTTTTAATTATTACAAATTTATTTCAAAAAACGTGTCATTATATAAAATATCTATATTTGAGTGCAGAAACATTATTTTATTTACACTGTCATCTGTGGTAGCTATCTTACACCTTTTATTATTAATTAGGTTTTTAGCAACCGAAAATGCTCTTTCGGAAGCCGCACTGCTAGCTGGAACTGCTAATAGCTTGCATGCAATTTTATAAAGGAGTGGAAATTGTTGTTGGTTATTTTTCCACCATTGCAAAACATTAAATTCTGGGCTATAAGGCAAATTTACATTTTCATATGCGCTAATTTCTGTTTTCAAGACGGAATGAATATTTAGGTTTTCTATGGGTTGGATATAATCGGCGAAAATTGGATCTATTGCTAAGTTGGGTGGATTGATGATATCTATTTCTTCAGCTTGGGTTTTTAGGTGAGTTTCTATCATAATGGATTCAAGTTCTTTGAGAGTTTCTTTCTTCACCACTTCAGTAAATTGCGATAATTTATTTTTGGGTGGAAATAAAAATAGGGCTATCTTATGAAACTTTTTTAAATTGCCAAAAACTATTTCATCTAAATATTTTTTAAGAGCAACCTTGCATTTTTTTACGATCTCCACATCGTTATCACTAAGGGTTAATATATTTGTTAAATTTTTTATATGTGTAATAACAAGATGCAGCGTTGGGTAGTTGCTACCCTCGAGTTTCCTTGAGCAATCTTCAAAAGGAGCTAGAAGGCTTGCCAATGCTCGTACGTCGCTCAAATTAATATTTTGCATCCATTAACAGTTCGTAGTGATTCAAATGATGTTGGCCCTCGAACATGTACCAGCAACAACCGCAAATAGAAACAGTCATCATTCTTTGGATGCACTGTGTAAATACGACCAAGAGCATCAGCAGAACGCATATCTGGATGACCAGGAACAGCATCGCCTTGCTTCCGACGTTGAAATTTCTTCGATGTAGCGTTCCAAGTGTAATAACGTGGCATTTCCGAGTAAAGCAACGTTCGTGCGAATGGATCATGTTGACAAATCGCAAAGAAACTGGTCAGTGTTGTCGCTGGAGGTGTTTGGGCACGTTGAGCAGCATTCGACGCTGTGAAATATACTCTCTGACCGTTTTCTAGATGCACCCCTAAATGTACAACAGTGGGATAACGTTCGTGAATAGGGAATGAAAATATACGCCAAATAGCTTCACTGCAGTTCACATATCTACCAACTTGATAGCGCGTGATTTCATCGTTGATATTGGATGTTTGGATACCAAAAACCGCCATGTCGCTCCCTTTCGTGACATATTTGCAAATGTATTTTATAGATTTGACCGAATTGCAATACTCAACATTAGAATGTGCCTTAAATGTTTTGGAAAGAAGTGGCGAATATGGAACAATCCAACTGTTGTCAACTATGAAATCGTTTCCTTTCACTTTAGTTGTGATAGTTCTACCATTATCATCGGGCGATCGACGCCGATACAACGGATAACCATCGTTGCCTGTAATGGTCTCTGCCGTGAATTTTCGCGGATACCGTTTGGAACACCTGCCGTCGACCATGCACGGTGATTGGCGGTTGATATCGCCACATGGTCCATGAATCATATTCGTGATTACAACATCATGTAGGTCTGGATCGGTTTCAGGAGCAGGAATTTCCGCACATATGATGTCATCTATTTGATCTGGCCGAATTCTGTCTACTAACCAAATTAGAATGTGAGCATGCGGTAGGCCTCGTTTTTGCCATTCGACTGAATACATCCAGCATCGAGTAATCCCAAAGACGTGCTGCTGAACAATGTAATTTATTAGTTTTTTTTTCTCCATTTGTTTATTTACAATCTATCCTTTTGGACAATCAGTAAATTGTTTGGCAAGCTTTAAAAGGGGGTTACAAAAAGTGAACATTGGCGGGGGCTAAAAGTAGCGGTATTACAATACGTATGTGTGTGGGGAACGAGGAACTATGAATTACTGGTCCGCAATGTGCGGGAGGTCTAGCGGATGGTGTCTTCTCAGTCTTCTGGTTGTGGCGCTATTGTCTAGTAGATTGATCGCTAGAGGGTTGATGTGCCTGTCCAGACGTGACAGGTAGTTGGTTGACAGTCTGGCCACTTCGTCCTTCACAAAAGGGACACCAAGCACTTCGTGTAGTTCCACGTTAGTGGTGTAGATGTTGGCGTCAGAGATCAGTCGCAGGGCTTTGTTTTGGAAGCGTTGAATGAGATCACAATTGGTGGCGTTAGTGGTGCCCCAGATCGAGATTCCAAATGTCCATAGGGGTTTTATAATGACCTTGTATATGAGAAGCTTTAGCCTTATTTTTAGCTTCGATTTTTTGCCTAGTAGCCAAATGTGTTTTTTCAGTCTCTCGTCCAGCTGCTTTCTTTTTGATAGCAGGTGGGGCTTCCATGTGAGTCTTCTGTCGAGAATGAGGCCGAGGTACTTTGCTGTTACGCTTTCAGGGATAGTGGAGCCGTCTAGCCGTCGTCGTTTATGATTCTCGTTTTATCGGTACTATGCAAGAAAAACTGATAAGGCGATCTATTTTTTAACTGGTGATGAATAATTTTAGTTTATAATAAAAAAATTATGATTTTTATTATTTTTTCACATAGAAAATTTTGTACGTCCGCCTTTGACAAACAGTGTTGGACAGCGGCATGCATGAATAATTTGTGAATGAATAATGAATTTTGCTTTTAATTTTTTCACATAGGTTACCTTATTATTTAATATATAATTCTAAAAGATGCAAAATATTTTTATTAAAAACAGTTATTTTTATGGGATAACTTTCGTTGTCCCTTTTTGAAAGGGTCCGAAGAAAGAAGAAAGTGATTGAGTGAATTGATTTATTTGTTGCTACTCGAGAAATATTTCTTTTATGATTTAGACCAAATTTCTTTATGTTCTTTATTGCCCTTTATTCTCGACTCAGCAGCGTCCTCCGACAACTTCCCAATTGAACATCAAGTCTGTTGGACTAATGAATGAAATATTCAAAAAATCGTATATATGCATGAAGTGGTGATAGCGATAGAGATAAAACAATTATTAAATTAATTATTAAAAAAATAAATAAATTTATAAACAAATTGTTTTTTGTTTTTTATTCTACATACGCTAGCCTTCAAAATCCATTTAACACAATAGTTGATTTTTGCAATTTGTTGCATCGGTGGACGATTCCTGGTCGTGCAGAAAACATAAATTTTCAAAATACCATATGTTTGGTTGGTAAATATCTTCTGCTTCTTTTTATTTTTGACAGTTGCATAACATATTCCAATATTTTGTTTTCAACGGATTGAAGAGGAAGCAGTTTACACAAAGCAGAGCCCTTTAATCTATTTATTTGCAAGGGAAGAATGCGGTCTGATGGGTGTTCATATTGGGCTCTTTTTAGATTTTATATGGAAGGATCAAGAGTATCACAGCTAAGTGAATGCACAAGTGGATTTGGATGAAATGAGTGCCTAGCGTTCTGTTTAATAAAAGAATATTAAATTACGTTAATTAATGTTCCGAATGTAATTTCGCCAATTAAGTTGAAGAGTATCAAGTACCATGTCAAGTACAGGGTGTCGGCTGAGAATTTTATAAAAATAGTATGGAAAATCATACTTATGAATTTCAGGTAGATATCAGATATCTGCATTACTCTAAGCCTGAAAACTGGATGCGGTGCAAGTAAAGCTACTTGGACCTCTATGTAAATGTGATCAAGAAGTTGCTAATCGTATCTCCGGGTGTTGTAGAGTGAGAGTGAGATGGCATTCGGCAATGAATTCATTTCATAGTATTGAAACTCTTCATATGTTCAGTAAATTTTATTGTGTTGGTTATTAATTTTTTTTTTTCAATTATTTAGGGATGTAGTAGACAGGTCGATCATTAATATCTTGAATAGCGCGGTAGTTGTTTTCTAAAGGTTGCTCGCGAGAATCTTGTAAGTCCCAAAATTTCATGATGTGTCGTCTAGGTAGATTGGCAGCCTCTCCAAAGACAGTCCAAGTGACGGATTCTGCGCAGTCGGGTGTGGTCAATGATCCTACAGGGTAGAGGAAAGTCAACATAGGATAATCTTTTGAGCATGTACATACATATTCCTACAATACTTACCATTGTATGAGTAAAAATGGTTCGTGTTAACGTTGGCCAGTAGTTGCTGTACAGAGTAGCGGCCAGTCAAGTTGGTACTTGATCCGTATTGAACAATCTGAGGCAATTGATTAGAGATCCCAATTAGCCCTAAGTGCGGCGAGAGCACTCTGTTTACAGCCTTGAGCATGACTCCTAGAACAGCTAGGCCATCCCAGTACTCGCTGGCCTCGGCAACCGTTTTATCAGAATATCGTAGATTCTTATGGACAATATGTATTTCAACATCGTAGCGGTTATCGTTGATAGTATGCTCAGAGCCCTTGCTGCTGGAGGAGCCCCAATGAAAGTGTGCACTTTCTGCTTCGAAGGTGCCTGGCAGTAATCCTCCATTGATATAAGGACGCTGTCCGTTACGAGTAGGAGGCAATACAATATTCGCTGAGGTAAATAAAATTGTTCTTTAAAAGTCACTCAATACTTGAACCAACCGCCCACCTGTGTGTCCATTATTTGTCATTACCAACGGTGACTGCAGAGGCTCGTCATAGTTGTAAAAAGCTATACGCCGTGAGCTGGTTACAATGGCCTGGCAAGAGGTGAGGGAGGATATAAGTCTCAAAAGGTGTTAAAGGGCTGATAGCTAGCTACCTGACTGCTGCTCAATGCAATTGGCGATTGCTGCAAGCCATCTTGACAGGTTCCTTCCCAATCCATGCCTTGTTGGTCATAGTTGTAGCTGCCACTTGCCTGCTCGGCTGCTTCTTCTGCTCTTATGTCATTGAGGTACTCCTCAGATAGGCGAGCTTATTGGAAGGGAAATAATATACATCAACTTCAAGCAATGAAAAAACATTTACCTCACCTTGCGAACAGGCAAAGCCAAGGACTGCTAGCAATAGAAACTGGAGTCCCGAACCCCAACGGCTTGAATAAACCATTTTTTTGGTCTTACTGATATTCATTAGAAGCTGGCTAATTCTAACCAGACTGCACCCATTCTGCGTTTGGCTAAAACTATTTATAGCTGTGAAGTCCGCCTCAAGCCTCATTACAGATAAGAAAGTAGCTCGATAGACTATGAGGCGGAGGTCTATCATCTGACGATATAGGCAATCAGCTCTCATTTTGCGCGTTTAACCTTGCTAGTTTGTGGGCTGGTAATAATCAGCAATTGCATCACCTAAAATGCAAATCGCAGTCTTGTAGCAAGCGTTACCTCGCAGACATATTGCCAGCAAAGCGGTATTTTAGTTTTCGTGGGCATGTTAACAGCCCTTAGCTGTGCCTATTCGTAAGCTCGTATGTTTGTTTAAAATTTAATATTTCAATTTTCAATTTCAATTTATTTTACTCTTTGTTATAACTACATGATGTTGTGAGTGGTATTTTACAATGTTTGAAGAGTTTAGGCTAATACATAGTCCTTTTCTGCTAAGTTATTTATTTACATACATGACATATGGATATGCGATAACATTATTATTTTGGGAAAAAACAAAGAAATAGAAAACCCCATGAAAATTTACTACAACCTAAATTAAACACTAAACACTAAAAACTACAAGTCTATGCCAGGTCGTTTATATGTGAATATGATGATTCCTGACACTTGGTTATAAATTTTTGCGATAGTCGCGATAGTCTAATATTTACTAGTTAAGTATTGGCTCGACAATGTAGTTCAATCGTGGAATGATGCCATGGAAGATTAAAGATAAGCTTCAGGACTTTATTTTGCATGATTTGCAGCTGGTTTATGTGACATTTGGCTATATCTGACCACACTGGCGCACCGTAGAACGTTACTGCTTGGAATATTGACCTAAACAAAAACATTTTGTTTTCTATATTTAGTCTCGACTTTCTATTTATAAACGGGTATAACGTACATACTATATGTTTAAGTTTTTTTGATTGTATTGGTTATGTGGACCTTAAAAATAAGTCTTTTGTCCAGTGTAATACCCAGTACCTGACATTTGGTTCCCACTTTATATATTCTGAGCCCAATCTGATGTCAGTTGTCGGTACATATTAATCTAAAGAGTTATATGCTGATTTGAGGTTTCTAGCTATGTCAGCGGAACGAATTTCTCCACAAAGAATTGCCGTATCATCCGCAAAAACCGAGGTGGTGCACTGGGGTAATGTTGGGAGATCAGAGGTATATATATTATATAGAATAGGCGATAGACATGAGCCTTGGGGGCAGCCTGCCGAAATATTGACTGCTGTGGATCAAGTATCTCCGTAGGATCTGTTTTCTAGATAATTAATTTTGAACAATCTTTATAGTTGCAGGATGAAAATTAAAATGTAACATTTTGTGGATTAGGTCGTCGTGCCAAACTGAGTCAAATGCGGCTTTGATGTCCAACAGTATCATTCCCGATGACTAAGGATTTTATAATCGATCGGACACTTAACAGCAAAAAGTTCCATTCTTGCCAAGTTTCTAATATCTGTGTAATTTCGTCAATTACAGTTTTATATCCGCTATTGAGATAGTTTTTCGCTCCATTTGCTGCATTCCTTTTTGAAAAACTGGCATTAATGAATGCATGAACCAAAGGTAGGTTTCGCCCAAGTCGTGTTCAAAAAATTCTATAATTTTGGCTGGAGGTTTCGAGAAAGCAATAAAATAGGCTTTTAGAGCCGGAAATAACTGTAGGATTCTTTCAACAGCTGGTCTTAAGCTAAGCCCCCTGATTTTGCTGTGGTTCAACATCTCTTTAAATTCAATGTCACTAAGTCGCAAAACTCTTTAAGTTCATTCTTGCTAACCGTATATATTGAAAAAACTATACAATTTGTAAACGAATGCGTCAATGTCAAAAAGCACGAAATTTGTATTGTTTTTGTCTGCAAAAAAACAGCTATTTTCTAGATAAAACGTTTAGTAAAACGTAAACAAGCGCGCACTTTCGTCGCTTGTGCTATGAATGTCCATACTTTCAACGCATCATCCGAATGCGTTTTGACGACGAAGTTGTCCATTGACACTGACGACGCACAGTGGGCGACGCTGCTGGCGTAGAATGGCAAAAATCAGGCAAGTGATGAAAAGCGACTTTAAAACAAGTAAGAGCGTTGCAGTCGGGCGTTACCGACTACGGAGTACTCATTCACATCTCATCAGCAAATTAGCACCTGCAGAAAATGCGTTTTCCCCCGATTTGCCATGCCCCTACTGGGCGTAGACACCTCATTTTTGTTCAGTTTTTAGAACGAGCTAACGGTACCCTAACTGCAAAAATTGAATGCTCAAAAGACATGAAAATTACAGGGTGTTTTTCGATATGCCACGCCCCTAAAGAGGCATAAAAATTATTTTTGGGTCATCGATAGAGGAGATTACTAGCAGCTCAACTATCCAAATTTGAAGCTTCTAGCTATTATACTTTAGGAGACATACACTTTTGCAGTTTGCCACGCCCCCTGTGGGCGGACATATATCCGTCGAAGATTTTTGGTCTTGGGTGGTCAGAGCATTAATAGTGTCCAAAATATAGCAGAATTAAAGCAATTAAGAAAGCTCTTGTCGAGACTGCAATTGAGCAATTGATATTTCAATAATTATTCGCACATGCACACAGCTCGTCGCCCTGATCAAGAATATACATACTTTGTGGGGTCTGCTACGCCTCCTTCTGCCTGTTACATCCATTTCAACAAAACAATTTTACCCTGATTTCCCATTGAAAATGGGTTCAGAGTATAAAAAGGGCATATAAAAGGTGATGATAAGATTGAAATGAGCACACGGAATAAAATATATCCAAGAAAAGTTTTGGAATGAAATGGGTCTTTGAATAAGCATGCCGATGCAAAATGGAAGCGGAAATAGCAATGATGGTAAAACGGAGAGCTTTTGCCAATACTAAGCTACTAGCATCTATTACCAACTATAGCAAAGATTTATTAAACAGATTTCACTTTATTTTAGTTGTCATTTCGTCTAACTACTACATAAATTCGGAAAAGTTGAGCTCATTTTGGGAAGCAACTTTTTCATTATATATAGCGAAGCTATCCATGGTATCCGATGTCACCAACAATTCATAATATGTTAGTTCACTTACCAGATAAATAAGTAAAAAATAAGAGTTTTGTTCCACAAGGATCCTTAGGCGAAAACACTTCAGAAGCACGCAATAAAATATGCAAAAAGACAGATTGTCGCATTTATACGCAGTGAACAAAAAAAAAAAAAAAAAATTTACAGGCAGAATCCAATGAAGCTCTCTTTTCCTCTTAATGAAAATAAAAATGGAGAAACAGCAAAGCTTCATTAAAAAGAAAATATCGTATTTATATATAAATTATATTTGAACGTCAAAGGAACTGAGATCCGGAAAATATTATTGTTGACAAGTCGTCTGCAGAAGTCGGGTTGCAAAGCTTCAATCAGAGTTAATTGAAACGATTCCTGAAAATACAGTTGGTAACGACTTTAATTGGGAAATGGGGTTTCGATGCAAATACTGGCCATAATAAGTACAAAAAACAATTTTCAAATGTATTGGATGTATTGGACGACCAAAGCTTGTTTGTAAAGTCATATGTGCTTCTTCTCAAATGAGCAATAAAATCATTTGGAAAAACCCTTGACTGTCATCGACCCGGTAGATAGGCCAATTAGATAACAATCAGCACAGTCGCAAGATCTCTCGTACTTTAACAAACACAGATGTTATGAACACACTACTCTTAAGATCAGATCTATTTATAACAGGTCAAAGAGAGCTTCCCAAAAGAGATAAGTCGACTTTATTACCAGTGTATGAATCATTAGACGATTCATTTTAATTTCATATTATCATTATTTATTTGTATATTTTATTATTAATTTTTAATCATTTGATCATAGTTAAAAAATTTATTGAACAGCATGTTTTTTTTTTATACTCATTCACGAAAGTGAATCAGTATATTGGTTTTGTGCAATGTCCGTCTTGCTGTCCGTCCGTCTGTCCGTCTGTCCGTCCGTCCGTCTGTCCGTCTGTCCGTCTGTCCGTATGAACGCAATCTATTTCGGCGCTATTGAAGCTAGAGACTTGAAATTTGGAACACATACTCGTGTATATCTCCGATTTATAAAGTGTTAAAATTTTCCCGATCCGCCCACTAGGGGCGTGGCAAATCGGAAAATGCATTTTCCGATATACCAGAAATCATGTTTGTTGAAGAGCTAGAAAGCTGAAATTTGGTATGTAGGTCCGCGTTGACCACCCAAGATCACGAGCTATGGCGGATATATCTACGCCCATTGGGGGCGTGGCAAATCGGATAAAACTGTATCTCCTAAAGTTGTAAACCTAGAATGCTGAAATTTTGCACGTCAGCTAATGGTATGATTCTATAAAGTCTGAAGATAAATTATAAGTCTACGCCCATTAGGGGCGTCGCAAATCGGACCTGAAGATATAGTGATTTTTTAAATTCTCCTATATTTTGGACACTATTGATGGCAGAGACCTCAAATTTTGTATATATACTCGGACTGATCACCCAAGACCAAAAAGTTTTATCGGATATATGTCCGCCCACAGGGGGCGTGGCAAACCGCAAAAGTTTATATCTCCTAAAGTATAATAGCTAGAAGCTTCAAATTTGGATAGTTGAGTTACTGGTAGCCTCCTCTATCGATTCCCCAAAAATAATTTTTACGCCTCTTTAGGGGCGTGGCATATCGAAAAATACCCTGTAATTTTCACATTTTTTGAGGGTAAGCATTCAAACTTTGCAGTTAGGGTACCGTTATCTCTTTCTAAAAACTGACCAAAAATGAGGTGTCTACGCCCAGTTGGGGCATGGCAAATCGGAAAAACCTGTATATTCTACAGTATTAGAGCGAAACTTAACTACTAAATTGTTGATGGGATGCGAATGAGTATTCCGCAGTCGGTAACGCCCGACTGCAACGTTCTTACTTGTTTTTTATTAAAATATATATTTTTTTGGAGGGGTTAGGAATCACACAATATATTAAATTTAATTTATATTAGCATTGGCAAAAATTTCATTTTCATTTGCAAGAGACTCATTTAAATTTGACTACATTCTATCTCTTATTGCAGTTGTTAAAATGCTGCTCAAATATACCTTGACATGTCAAAATATTTTAATAAATGAAGTCCTAGTCTTATATGCGTAGACTGATATGCATATGTCGGGGATGGGTGCGATAAGGCTGAAACCGGCCCTAACGACTTTTAAATTACCCCCTTTCGCCGTAAACTATGTCTCATTTGCAATAGACGCATTTGAACTTAATCATTGCAGCTGCCAAAGTGCAGTGCGACTGTGACTTGAAATTTAACGACCATATTACTGCTAGTAATGGCCATAGCATACGTGTATAGGATGAGTAATTGCAGCGCATACCATTTGTGACAACTTTGTTGCCTGCACTGCAATGTCAAGCTCAAGTTCGGAAAGCTAAGCTTTAGCAATAAAGCTTTCGCCTAAACCCTAAAGAGAGAAAGAGAGAGACTCGAACCCTGGAATGTAGCCATATAAAAAGGGACATGGCTCAATTCAGTCTGTTTCCGGCTGCATCGATCATAAAGTCATGAAAAACAAAAATTAATGTATCCATTAACTCTATATACAACGCAAATTTGAAGTCTCCAGGTTTAAAAGTGTTCAAATTAGGCTGAAAAAACCATGTCGATTTTTCGATTATTCTCGATAAAAAAGTTATCGGATGAGTTATCGAAAAAATAAAGCAAACTCGTACTGCCTATGGTATATACGAGTATGCATGCCAAATTTCAGCTCTCTAGCTCTTATATCTTCTGAGATCCTTTTGCTCATACGGACGGACGGACGGACAGACGGACAGGGCTATATCGACTCAGCTCGTCGTCCTGATCAAGAATATATATACTTTATGGGGTCTGCGATGATTCCTTCTGCCTGTTACATACTTTTCACAAAACCATTATACCCTGATTTCCCATTTTCAATGGGTTCAGGGTATAAAAACACAACTTAATAACAAAATGCATACCAAATAAATATAGTTGTACAAGTGAGAACAAAATTACGAAACACAAAACAAAAGAACACGAAAAGAATTTGTGCAGGCCGGTTGAATTGCCGTCGGCTAGTACTCAGTAACATATTTTTTGAAAAAAGAATTATCAAAAGAGAGAAATATTTGTTCGAAATAAAAAATAAAAAGTTTAGATTGTGTGCTTAAATTTCCCCTTTCCCGAAGATATAAATATATATATACATAGTACATAGGTATCCAAATTATTTCATTGTTGGCGGTTCCTCCAAGGAAACTGGAAAAATGTTTGATCCCATCTGGTAAGACTTATACAATTTATAGCAAACACGTTTTTTTTTTCTAATTGTTTTGGATTTTAGATAAAAGTGCTTCTTTGCCTGCCGACACCAATGAGGAATCTTCATTTGCTGTTGCGGTAGATGTCGAAAATATTGCGCCGCCGAATAAACGCGAAGTAATCTCAGGTATGGAAGTTTTTTGAAAAAAATGCTAAGAAAAAGTTTGCGAAATGCCTGCTTTGTGGGCAGCAATATGAAACGAGCGGGAACACCTCAAATATGCAAGAGCATTTAAAGCGTGCCCATCCTCTCAAAATTGTTAAACACAAATCGGAGACAATTGAAAAATTTATAGAGCGCACGGATTTATATGAAACCTCGTCTTCTAGAAAGGCATTCTTAGATAGAAAACTGAAAACGAAATGGTTGCAAGCGACTTGCCACTATTATTTTCATGAATTAAGGCAAAATATCGTGAATTTTATTTAGGTTATTAAGTACAAATGTTTACAAAATTCATTCTTTTTTATATGAGCTTCCAGCAATTTTGAATGTGTAAAGAAAAATAAGCTAGCTTTAAGCAACATGTGATAATTTGGAAATAAATATTGAATTGAATTGAATGATGGAGCTTTTTTCGATGATACTCTCGATATTTTCAGCCATTTGATGTACTAGTCGAGCAGTCTCGATTAGAGCTTTGTTACTTGTTTCAGCCTGTTTTAGCCTTTTGCAAAGAGTGCAAAGGAGCCTGAGACCTGCCTCTGTGGCTGCAGAGTAATGAATTCAAGGCGTGGCTGAGGAGTGATCCATCTGATTTATAATTGCAAAACTATATGATTTTGTGCACGTGGTGTTACGATGAAGCACATCAGTTGCATGAGCGGCTTTGTGCAAAAAAATAAACAATTTGAAGAATTGCCAACAAATAAGCAGCAGGCAGCGATTCGCCTATTTGTTGCTCAGAATACTGAAGTTACCATTGTCAACCATTAACTGATCTCTGCCAAAACAATTAAATTATAGCAGCACCGCATCGTCGATTGAAAATGCATTGGTGCCCCATTTTAATGAGGAACTTCGTAAGGGCATTAGCGGTTCAATAAGTTGTTGATGTTACCATGGGATTTCTTGATGCAATAGTGTTGCGCAAAGCTGGCAGTTCGCATTAATCGATTAATTTTGTGTTGTAGTGACAATTAAAGGATGTATTGTCGCTAGGAGAGAGACATCTGTTGCTGAAATGACTTGGTCATAAACAGTTGAATTAAGCGACACCGGGAACTCGTTGGTACGCGCAGTTATAATGGAAGGCATACACGAGAAACATAACGCCCCGACATATAAATCATATTTAATTATTTAAGTAAATTGAATGTCTAAACTTGTTTGTATTATTCAAAATTAATGTTTAGATGTGGACATTAACTACTTTTCTCTAGAACATGAAGTAGTAGTTTGTACTTTTTTAAGCTTCATCGATTTAGAAGATGGGGGCGCACTGTCTATCGCAGACGCTCTAAGGCATGAAGTGTAACGATTGAAACTCGACATTAAAAACTGAATCGGCATTGGTACAGATAATGCAAATGTCATGATTGGTAAGAAAAACAGCGTTTACACGCAATTAAAAAGGGGATGCACCATCTCTCATATCAACGTTTGTAATTCGGTGCAATCGGCTGTAAACTACGCTTGCAAGCAATCATTGCCAAACGATTTGGAATTTTTAATTTATGAAACATATAATAGGTTTTCCAAAAGTTCGATGTCCATGAATAAAAAAATGTATGAATGTATTAATGACGAAAAGGTATATTCATACATATGAAAATGCCTGTTATATCTGTGTCGTTAATCGTGCTATTTACTAATATTTCTACTAATATTTCTGGAACGACATAAAAACACATTTTTGGGTTACTGCAGCTTCCCACATCCTCGGCGTGCATTTCTCCAAATACTTTATAAAAATGGATAGTAATTCTATACAATCGGATTCTGATTCTTTCATTGATGTTGAGGCATTAGAAAATGATTCAGACTTACTCAACCCTCTGTATATGGATATTCTAGAAGCTATGGATGCTGGCTCAGCAGCAGTCACTACAGCTAAATGCTAAGTCAGGCACTAGGTAATCATAACGGCAATCACATAAAATGACACATAAAAAAACTACTTTAGGATGTGGATTGCGTATCCAATGTCTTGACATTGATTCTTATAGAAAACTTGATCGGCATTTTAAGTACACTGTGATCGTTAACAAAAATTCGGACACACGAAAAATTACTGTCGCAGACCTTTTATCTGCGTAAAATGTGGCAATAATCATCCATCGACGAAATGTCCTCGTCAAAAAGGCAGCTTAAGTCAGCCACCTATATGCGCAAATTGTCAAGGTGAAAATGTCGCCAGTTATAGGGGCTGTAAGTCCTTTAAAGAAGCGTGTAAACAGAAAGAATCGATAAGCAAGCAAACTTGTGGTTGATTTAATACAACATAAAAACATAGGCAATAATGCTTCGACTGCCAAACGACTGAAATAAATCGTCACCTTGCAAACGTGCAATCAAATAGTACAGTAAATTCTACTCAGTCATCAGAGCATCCATTACTGCAACAAGTTATGCGGAAACATGAGATTGAACTGCAGCATCAAAATAAAAAATTACAAACCTCAAAGCAATTTAATTGATAATTGATCTAATGATAAATATAGCATGAAGAAACTATGGCGAGTCACAAATTTGATCAAAAAACAACCGGTTGCTGATGTACTACTTAAAAAATTGTTTGATACTGATAACACAGTTGCGATTGCACTAATAGTAGCCAGTCCATCTGTAAAATCCCAGAGGAAAAGGCAGAAGCTTTTGCTCATCACCTTGAAGGACGTTTCCAGCCTTACATAACCTGTAGTCAAGAGGGTAGAGATCACATTGAATCTCGGTGCTTGCCAAATTTAGACAACAGTAGCACGTCTGCTGTACAATTTCGTCCAATTCTCCACTACTATATTTGACACTTATCATTAACAGTGCACTCAGGTTTTGTGCAAGAGTTAGGATGATTGTTAAGCCTGGTAAACCAGCTCATGAGCTGACCTCTTACAGACCAATCAGCTTACCTTCAGGACTATCTAAAATTCTAAAGAAGCTAATCATGAATAGATTATTTGAGGTGGAGGCGTTTCGAAAGACATGTACAATATGATCACCAGAGTGTCATCACAATAGCAGGTAACCATATTGACAACAAAACTAGCCACAGATATTTGGATAACAAGCTGTTGTTAAGGACTAATATCAATAATGTCCAGTTTAGAGCCAGAAGTAAAGAAATAAGCTGTATAATTGGCGCTAGAAGTAAGTTGCCACTAAAACTTAAAATCGTCTTATATAAGGAGCCATTGCACAGTGGACGATTTCATAGGCCAAAAATACAATTTTTTTTTTTTAAATTTGCAACTCTATGAATTTGTTCTTATTTCTTAAAAGAACAATTAATTCCACTGTAATTGTATTTTTGCACTATCCCATTAGCACGCGCTACAAATAGCTACAAGAGAGAGAGAGAGAGAAAGAGAGAGAAAAAAAACACGTGGAGTGTGCAGTAAACGAAGCTAAAAAGTTATTTCCTACAAAAAAATTAAATTGTAATAATAATTCGGGGTTAATTGGCATAAATTATTATGCATATTGAAAGAATGTGATAAGACTACATAACTAAGTGCATTTTGTACAATAATATGTTGTATTATTGTTTTAGTAATACATTGCTTGCAATGGCCTGTTTCATGTTGTAGTTTTCTCTGTGCACTGATTTCAGTTGGAAAAAAAAGTTGTGATCCCCATCTCGCCCTCAAATGTACTTTTTATACTCATTCACGAAAGTGAATCAGTATATTGGTTTTGTGCAATGTCCGTCTTGCTGTCCGTCCGTCTGTCCGTCTGTCCGTCTGTCCGTATGAACGCAATCTATTTCGGCGCTATTGAAGCTAGAGACTTGAAATTTGGAGCACATTATATATCTCCGATTTATAAAGTGTTAAAATTTTCCCGATCCGCCCACTAGGGGCGTGGCAAATCGGAAAATGAATTTTCCGATATACCAGAAATCATGTTAGTTGAAGAGCTAGAAAGCTGAAATTTGGTATGTAGGTCCGCGTCGACAACCCAAGATCACAAGCTATGGCGGATATATCTCCGCCCATTGGGGGCGTGGCAAATCGGATAAAACTGTATCTCCTAAAGTTGTAAACCTAGAATGCTGAAATTTTGCATGTCAGCTAATGTTATGATTCTATAAAGTCTAAAAATAAAATTATAAGTCTACACCCATTAGGGGCGTGGCAAATTGGACCTGAAGATATAGTGATTTTTCAAATTCTGCTATTTTTTGGACACTATTGATGCCAGAGATCTCAAATTTTGTATATATACTCGGGCTGATCACCCAAGATCAAAAAGCTTTGTCGGATATATGTCCGCCCACAGGGGGCGTGGCAAACCGCAAAAATGTATATCTTCTAAAGTATAATAGCTAGAAGCTTCAAATTTAGATAGTTGAGTTACTGGTAGCCTCCTCTATCGATTCCCCAAAAAATAATTTTTACGCCTCTTTAGGGGCGTGGCATACCGAAAAATACCCTGTAATATGCACTTTTTTTGAGAGTAAGCATTCAAACTTTGCAGTTAGGGTACTGTTATCTCGTTCTAGAAACTGACCAAAAATGAGGTGTCTACGCCCAGTAGGGGCGTGGCAAATCGGAAAAGCCTGTATATTCTACAGTATTAGAGCGAAACTTAACTACTAAATTGTTGATGGGATGTGAATGAGTATTCCGCAGTCGGTAACGCCCGACTGCAACGTTTTTACTTGTTATACCCTGAACCCATTGAAAATGGGAAATCAGGGTATAATGGTTTTGTTAAAAGTATGTAACAGGCAGAAGGAGGCGTGGCAGACCCCACAAATTATATATATTCTTGATCAGGGCGACGAGCTGAGTCGATTTGGTCCGTCCGTCCGTCCGTATGTATGAACGCGTCGATCTCAGAAGATATAAGAGCTAGAGACTTGAGACTTGAGACTTTTTCCTAGGTCCGTGTATATCACGCGCATATCAAGTTTTTCTTTATATATCGATAACTACTCCCGTAATATTATTATCGATTAAAAGCCTTATAGAAAGCTAGTTATATAATTATATCTCTTACACCTTTAGAGCTAGAGCTTCCAAATGTTAAATGTAGACTTATATGTATTTTATATAATTTCGATTTTTGTTGTAATTTACCCCCCACCCCTATATCCATCCCCTCACCCTCACCTTTGTAAAAGGCGTATTTCAAGTACTAGAGACGTGTGCTTTAGAATGTACTCACATTTTCACCATATGATTACGCTCTGAAAGTTTCATTAAGATTGTACGTCTAGAAATTAAATTATTCAACAAATAAATTCTTATAATGTTGCCCACACTACAGCGCATCCCAAGCGCAGTCGCTGCTTACTGCGCAGTTAGCAGAGCGCGTTCTACTACGTGAGTATGTATGTATGTGTGTCGAAAAGAAATGCAGACTGATTAGAATATTAGATTAGAGGGTTCAGGGTATCTCCTAGTCGAGCAGTCTCGACTAGAATCTTCTTCCTTGTTTGTTTTATATTTGTTAATATTTTCTAAGCTTGTATTCTTAACTTCAGCTGCCACTTTTCGCCTCCCTTTCTGTTTACTTAACAGATTGTTATTGATCCTTTTATAAGTCGACAAAGAAATTTCAAAACAAAAATAAATCTGTTCTGCTCAAATCCGTTTTTGAATTAATTAATTTTTTTACTTCATATTATTCCAATTTTATGTTTTCATTAAAATAAATAAATAAATATATTATTGTCACAGTATGACAATTGTTTGGTTTATAAATTGTGAGTAATAAATAAACTTAGTTTCAAAATATCAAAAAGATTTGTATCTCGCCTATGCCTTCGAAAAAGAAATCATAGCTAAGAAAGTAGAGCCTTTGGGAGAACAATGCATAAGAGATGTAGTTGAGCTGGTCAGAAAGTTAAAGCAAAGGTAAATATTTGCATCAATTTTATTTATTTTCTTTTATAAATATAATTTTTGTTTGTTTTTAATTTCAGGTTGCCGGAAAACTTCAATACATTAAAAAAAAAACTGATGCTCTTCTGTTGAAAATCCGAAATAGGATGAGTGTTGATATATGCAACGCCAAGCCCACAGAGATGAACAATATTCACAAAAATTGGCAAAGGGAGGTTATCACCACTTGATGCATATATACTGTTTTTTGAATATTTCATTCATTAATTAATTCATTCATTAATTCAACAGACTTCAACTTACTTCTTTCTTCTGACCCTTTCATAAAGGGACAACGAAAGCGATCTCCTAAAAAAGTCTGTTTAAAAAAAAAATGTTTTTCATCTTTTAGAATAATATATTAAATTTTAGAAAAAGTTTCAGATACTACTACTTGGTTTCTTCTTCTAAGAATGATGCATCCAGTTATCCTGAGTCTCTCTCTGCTGTTGTTGGTACGGATATGCTGGGTAACGGAAATGCGCCGTCTTTGAAGCGAAAGAAAGTAATTTCTGAGGTATGGACACATTTTGAAAGGTGCCCTTGTTTCAAAGACTACAAAACGAGTAGCAACACATCGAACTTACTTGAGCATTTATAACGTGCATATCCATCAAAAGTAAATGATGTTTGGACTCTCATCTTAAAAAAATAAATAAATAAAAAAAAGTGACAGCACTAGCTGAGATGGTAGCTCAGGAAGTTCAGCCGTTCAGCATCGTTAAGGACGCTGGCTCCATAAATTTAATGAATGTAATGGATCCGCGATATGTGTTGCCGAGCTGCACGACGTTGCAAAATGTGTATATAAAGAATATGTACGACGAAATGGTATCCAAATTTAAAAGCCAGCTAACAGATGTAAAATACTGTTTTTGGAGCAACAAAATGCATCCCAACATGTCGACCCGCTCGAGTATTGGAGGGTAGGTTTTTCCTAATTTATATTTGCAGCAGTTAAATTATAATTTGCATTTTTTTTCAGATTAGTGAGTCACAATTGAAAGAGCTTTCGCAGTGCGCTACAAAATATTTGTGCATTCCAGCCAGCTCAAACGAATCGGAGCGTATTTTCAGCAAAGCTGGAGAAATAATTTCGCAACGACGAGCTGCTCTTAAGGCGAAAAACGTAAATATTTTGTTGTTTATCAACAAAAACCAGTGCATACTGGAGAGCTAGATTTAGTTTTATAAAAGTTAGTATAGTATTAAATACATCTCGTGAAATTATTTTTTTTTTTAGATGTCTTATTTAGTTTATATATTTTTTAAATTTTCTTAGCTTCTAAGACTCGTAAAAATTTTCTATTTTAATACGAAACTGCTTTAAATTACCATATAATAATAATAAAGAGCTTGAACCATATACAAAATTTAATTATTGGCATTAATTGACAATTTGCCATATTTAATAACACGTATATTTTAGTAGATACATCATCAGCATCACATAAATATTCGGTTTTTGTTCAAATTTACCCCCACCCTTATATCAACCCATAAATTTGTAAAAAGCGTGTTTCAAATACTTGTGCTTAGGCAAATGCACGCATTTTAATGTTATAATCACGATTTGAAAGTTGTATATAAAAATAAGTAAGAACGTTGCAGTCGGGCGTTACCGACTGCGGAATACTCATTCACATCCCATCAGCAATTGAGTAGTTAAGTTTCGCTCTAATACTGTAGAAAATGCAGTTTTTCCCGATTTGCCACACCCCTACTGGACGTAGACACCACATTTTTGGTCAGTTTTTAAAACGAGCTAACTGTACCCTAACTGGAAAAATTGAATGCTCAAAAGACATGTAAATTACAGGGTATTTTTCGATATGCCACGCCCCTAAAGAGGCATACAAATTATTTTTGGGTCAACGATAGAGGAGATTACTAGCAGCTGAACTATCCAAATTTGATTTTGCGGTTTGCAACGCCCCCTGTGGGCGGACATATATCCGCCATAGCTCGTGATCTAGAGTGGTCGACGCGGACCTACATACCAAATTTCAGCTTTCTAGCTCTTCAACTAACATGATTTCTGGCATATCGGAAAATGCATTTCCCGATTTGACACGCCCCTAGTATAAATCGAAGATAGACACGTGTATGTGTTCCAAATTTCAAGTCTAGCTTCAATAGCGCCGAAATAGATTGCGTTCCTGTGTGTATTATAATGTACATCATGTTTTCACACGAAGAATTATTGAAATATCAGTTGCTCGAAGGGTTCAGGAAATCTCGTAGTCAAAGCAATCTCGACTAGAGCCTTCTTGTTATGAATAATATTTATATTTCTCCTCGGCAGCACTTTGGAGATACTTTAAATAATGTTATAAAGTGCCAGTTTGATTACACAAAATGCCAAATTTCCCGCCAACACTTAATTTGCCATTTTCACTGCATTTGGCAGGCAAAAGGCTAAGTTGGCAGCTCTGCGCGCATGTAGAAAGCATTTATTGTCAGGCAAGTACTGAGAAAACAATACTACGTAAAACAATGGAAGCTTACGAGAAATGCTGAGATACTTGTAAAAACAAGCTTTTTTCTTGTCAGTTTTCTTCCCCCACAAAATTTCAGCTATTTTTTCCAAAATATCTTCCCACTAAAATAAGGCTTTTTTACTCAAAAAAAGTTGGCAAGACTGTCCCCCACAATAATCGCATTGCTAATAGTACTCGTGCTAAGCTGTAACCATTTGAGAATTATAAGGTCCCAGATTTTGCAAAAAAGTGCAAAGGCGACTGGGACCAGCCTATTAAAACATATAAAATTGAGGTATGTGGCAGATCCCACAAAGTATATATATTCTTGATCAGGGCGATGAGCTGAGTCGATATAGCCCTGTCCATCTGTCCGTATGTTCGATGTCAATTTCAGAATATATAAGAGCTAAAGACTTGAATTTCTTTTTAAATGACCGTATATACAAAATACCATAATTCAAAATATTTATATTTAATTAAATGAGTTTTCAATCTGTCTTATATTTTTATATACATCGAAATTGAAATGTTTAACCATACTAAATGCGAATTTTTATTAGTTTGGTTCAGGCACTGACCAGGGTCAGTGGTTCAGGGTAGTGTTTAGTCGAGCACTCTCGACTAGAGTTTTCTTACTTGTTTAATATGGAATAAATAAATTAAGATGTAGAATATAAATAAAAAAATTGAAATAGAATTAGATTTGAGATTAGTTTCTTGTTGTCTGAGATTTTGGCATATTGTCTGATCATAAATCTAATGCATTATTCTTATTTAATTGAAATTTGTTCATCTTCAGCATGTCTTTGCTGATCGTATACTATTAGAAATATCTTTCTTTATAAGAGACAATAAATAATTAATTTAAATAAATATTATGGTAGGCTTTATGTTATCCAAGGTAAAAATTACTGAGGTCCTTATTTGTGCGATAGAAAACCGGACGATTGTTGCGTGGTTGAAGCTCACGATAGTTATTTCGTATTAGGTTTCCATTCGAGTCCTGGAGTATCCACAATTTGGATATATCTGCCAGGGATATGGGCAGAGGATCAGCAAACACTGTCCAAGTGACAGCCTCGTTGCACTCAGGTGTGGTCAATGACCCCTTGTAGGTGAAAAAGTCACGCGTATTCAAGTCACCCAGCAACTGACCGAGGGTCAGGGAGCCAGGCAGATCCATCTCAGCTCCATATTCGACTATGTCTGGGACAGCATTGAAGATCTTCCTCAGACCTGGATACGCGCGATGCGGGTTCTGAAATTTGTGATTCTTATAAGTCCAGATAATTGTTGTAGATCACCTGAAGCTTACTCTGACTATCTTGAACATGACGCCCAGCACAGCAACGCCGTCGATATGATTGAGGGCTTCCGTAAGATCTTCGTAGCGCGTGCTGCGATGCACAATGTGCATTTCGACATCGAATCGCCTTCGGTCGATCACATGCTCAGATCCACGGGTCACAGGCGAGCCCCAATGGAAATGCACCCCCTCGGCTACATATCGCCCCTTGAGCAGGCCTCCTGTGATGAAAGGCTTCTGGCCATTTCGCGTCTCTGGTATCGTCATATCAGCTGCAATGCGACATTTCACAATGATTATATATATGTATATGCATGGTATTATATTTCTATCTCAGCCTACCTGTGTATCCTTTGTTGACCAATGTCAGTGGTCTCTTCAGCGGAACGTCATAGTTGCCAAAATATATTCGTGGCAGCGGCACAATGAGTGACTAGAGAAAAGGGAAAGCAGTAAACGGCGTGTTTAGGCTGTGTATACCCCATACAATCGTACATGCGACAATGCTAATAGTGAAAACTAGCTTCAAATTGCGTACAATTTGAGGTAAATTGGATCATTCGGAAGTAAGCTCTGGAAATGCGCACCATTTATCAAATTATCAGCTGTCAACGCTTGAGACGACGCAACAGCTTTTACGTATTATGTGCTGTAATATGGTATGCTGCACTCGATTGTCTGGCTATTGTCTGTAATCACGTGTGGGCTTAGCTAAGGCCTTCCGATCTTTATTGCGTATCTTTTCCGTAGTGCAAAATTCATTAAGTAAGAATTTTGCAGTCGCACAGATATTGCACACAGACGCTCACAGTGCGAACAGAGTAAATTGAGTTTGTGTAACGTCAGTCTGCAGCTAAAGAGCTGGTGTCTCAAATATTTATTGAGTTTATTATCTACAGCTATTAAAGCTAACGACTTGTAATTCAAGCTCTATACTCCGGTATACTACAGATATCAACTGAACTGTATGTGCTACGTTTTAAATGCTAGAGCCTCATGTCTGGTGCAATTTGAGGCTGTTGCTCAGTTTGTGTTGAAGCGCTCAAATATTAAACGCGAAAACGCCAAGATGACTTTTCATAAGAGCTCTATACAAATCTGTGCATAATCTAGATCAATCCTCAAATAAAAGTTGATCCTAACAATTTAAGCGGAAGTGCATATTTTTATACCCTGAACCCATTAAAAATGGGAAATCAGGGTATAATGGTTTTGTGAAAAGTATGTAACAGGCAGAAGGAATCATCGCAGACCCCATAAAGTATATATATTCTTGATCAGGACGACGAGCTGAGTCGATATAGCCCTGTCCGTCTGTCCGTCCGTCCGTCCGTCCGTATGAGGAAAAGGATCTCAGAAGATATAAGAGCTAGAGAGCTGAAATTTGGCATGCATACTCGTGTATACCATAGGCAGTACAAGTTTGCTTTATTTTTTCGATAACTCATCCGATAACTTTTTTATCGAGAATAATCGAAAAATCGACTTGGTTTTTTCAGCCTAATTTTAACACTCTTAGACCTGGAGACTTCAAATTTGGGTTGTATATAAAGTTAAGGGATACAAAGATTTTGTAATTTACAGATTTTGGATACCACGCCCCCTTCTCCCCCAATTTGTAAAAAACGCATTTCAAGTACTAGAGACTTGTGCTTTGGAATGTACACATATTTTAACCACATGATTACGCTTTGAAAGTTTCATTAAGATCGTATGTCTACAAAAGAAATTATTCAACAAATAAATTCTCATAATATTGCCCACATTGCAGCGCAGCCCAAGCGCAGTCGCTGCTAACTGCGCAGTCAGCAGAGCGCGTGCTTGTAAGTGCATGTGTATGTATGTGTGCATAAAAGAAGTCCAGACTGATTAGAATTTCAGCTTGGAGGGTTCAGGGTATCTCCTAGTCGAGCAGTCTCGACTGGAGCCTTCTTACTTGTTTAATTTTGTTTTTGTGCATAAGTATTTTCTTAAATTACTCCTAAATGTTAAGTATATTTTGTTCTATTCAATAAATGGAATACTTTTAAAAATTTTTCAGTTTTTTATACCCTGAACCCATTGAAAATGGGAAATCAGGGTATAATGGTTTTGTGAAAAGTATGTAACAGGCAGAAGGAATCATCGCAGACCCCATAAAGTATATATATTCTTGATCAGGACGACGAGCTGAGTCGATATAGCCCTGTCCGTCTGTCCGTCCGTCCGTCCGTCCGTCCGTATGAGCAAAAGGATCTCAGAAGATATAAGAGCTAGAGAGCTGAAATTTGGCATGCATACTCGTGTATACCATAGGCAGTACAAGTTTGCTTTATTTTTTCGATAACTCACCCAATAACTTTTTTATCGAGAATAATCGAAAAATCGACTTGGGTTTTTCAGCCTAGTTTGAACACTTTTAAACCTGGAGACTTCAAATTTGCGTTGTATATAGAGTTAATAAACACAAAAATTTTGTAATTTACAGATTTTGGATACCACGCCCCCTTCGCCCCCAATTTGTAAAAAACGCATTTCAAGTACTAGAGACTTGTGCTTTGGAATGTACACACATTTTAACCATATGATTACGCTCTAAGATTGTATGTCTACAAAAGAAATTATTCAACAAATAAATTATCATAATATTGCCCACATTGCAGCGCAGCCCAAGCGCAGCCGCTACTTACTTCGCAGTTAGCAGAGCGCGTGCTTATAAGTGCATGTGTATGTATGTGTACATAGAAGAAGTGCGGAATGATTGGAGCTTGGAGGGTTCAGGGTATCTCCTAGTCGAGCAGTCTCGACTGGAGCCTTCTTACTTGTTTTGTACTGTTAATACGCTCAACTTTTAATTTTATACATATTATAGTATACGAATTACAGTAATTGAAAATTGAAAATTTAATTGGAATCTCATCAGACTGCAATCTTAATTTTTCCAGAGCCTAAGACTAAGGAACCTTCAGATACGCCCTGACTATTAGATTGGACATATGTATATTCGAAAAGCTTAGTAATGTATAAATCAAAAATCGAACTTGGCAAATGCGCCAAAACTATGAGCAGTTTCATTCATAATTATCCAATGAATCACCCTATTAAGGGGGATCAATTTAAGAAGAGAGCGTCAGATTTGCATAATTGAATAAATAAAGGCAATACCACACGGCTTTTGAATATTATTGGCCTATTATATTGGTGATATCAGGCAGGTAGCTCAATATGACTGACTGCAATGTAATATATAGAAACTATCTCATTCTGTATACAATTAATTTTGCGATTGATTGGATGCACGAGTTTATCGAAGCATAAGAGATAAATCCAAATGGTCTTTTGCGGTAAATCTTGATAAATCTTTTGATAAATATATGTACATATAGACTTACACTATCGACAGAGAGCTTCATAGGCGATTGACGAAAGCCGGTGGCGCAAATTCCTTGCCAGTCAGCGCCGTTTTGATCGAAATTCCAATCTGTGTTTTGGGAGGTACCATCTAAATTATGTATATTAAAAAAATTAAAGCGATTAATGAATAAATAAAATATTGCTATTTGAATTGTATTTAGTTTTCTAAAATTCCATTCGTTATTTAAAGAGATGCCATCCAAAAATATATAGTAAAAAAAAATATATATTACGTGAATGCTTAGAAGCTGAAACTTTATTCATAAGTTTTCACTTTTATTCATGAGGATTGCCGTTTCTCTCTTATTTTTCGCACGCATTTCGCCTTTTAAGCCATTTCGTTTTCTTTGTTTTTTTCTTAAGCATATTAGACTATTAATCATTTATAAATATATATAATTTAATTCATAATCATCAGTTTTCGACACAAGACTTCACCGTGGTTAGCCTCCAATTACCATTTGATGGACTTTGATAGGCGAGAGGCAACAAGAAGAACAGTTTTTGGAGTAGATTAACGCCCATGTTTAGCTTATCTGGGGTTACTTCTAATTGGACTTGATCTTTTGTCTTCACTCCAGTTTATGCACTATTTTTTCTTTTTCTCTACGGAACTCTCACTGCACCCTTGACTACTGCGGTTACCGCTTGAGCGCAACTAAAGTCGCTCTGGACACGCGCCGAATCTTTTATACCCGAGCAAATGCGCCGCCGACGCCGCCGAAGAAAAAAGACCCGCAATGCGATAGCAGAGCGTGTGGCATATTTGAATCGGAGCACCTTTGCCGGGTGCCAGGCGTTCTCTAATTTACAGATTTAGCCTTTTTTTGGGCGCTGTCACAAATGTAAGGCTTATGTAAATGAGAAGCACTGTGGTGATCTACAAAGACCGAATACTCAAACTAACGAAGAATTGATACATATTCATATACATATAGCATATTTAGCTTATATAAACAGTATCAGCTGTAGCTTTCCAATACATTTGATAAGACAATCTAGCTCATATGCAAATTTCGGCAAAAGTCATTGTTAAATTTGCCAATAGTCATTGTTAAATGCCAAATGATATGCTGTCCAATTCCTTCTCTTCTTAATAGAAATTCGTCTCGAAATGCGTAGTCGCACATTTGGAGACCAATTGAATGTATTTTTTTTAGAAATATGACTAGCTATGGATTCTATAAAAAGTGAATACAGTTATCAAGACTGTCAGTAGCAGTTGTTGATCTCGAGTTCACCTGAAATAATCAGTTCGACATGTGAAAGACTTTGATTTTCAGCGCATTAAAAACAATATAATATTTTAGCAATTACAATAGCACCAATATATCGAATAGCTAATTGAACAATATTAGCCAATGTGCAGGGTGTTTAATCTTCGATGAATCGAGAATATCAGTTATTTCATGCATTTCATTAGGTCTAGCGATTGGGAGAGAGCACATGCATATGTATGTATATATGCAGTCATGCATGTGAATCTTCTACTACTGTATGTGTGTCAAAAATTTTACTCATATTTATGCAAATTAGTATTTATCCTAATTTACATCTGTTCGATTGATATTAAACTGCTAGTTTGAAGTCTGTCCGTATTTTGTTTATCGAATATTTTGGACATGGTTATAACTAATTTGTTAAGAGTAACTTTCTCTAGTTAGTAATATCAATACATTATGCACCCCTGTGCATATTCATTCTATGAAGAATTTCTAAGCATATTTTACGAATTCGTGCATTCAGCATCCATATTAGTCTCTAAATTTGGTTCATATTTTAATCATACAGGCAAAGATGTTAAAAACGACATTTTAATCTAAATTTCAACCAAACAGTTCAACAACCTTTACGGTTTCATTCCTAAATTATTAAAATATTTACTTATTCATTGAGCCATAAATTTGCCGAACCGCTTATAACACTTCTACACTAGGCTCCATTATTCCATTAAGGAGAGCTACAATGTTATTTGCAATGGTATTAATATTATATTTATAATTGGCAATATGTGTATATATATCTCCCCCAATAGCCCACTAATTAAAACAGAAGTCTTTTGTTCCAAATATGAGACCATTTCACTTTTTCATATTCCCAAATTCGGATGTCATAGTTATTTTTATTATCTCTCTGTGCGTAACAGACGCGGTATCTTCTAGTCGGTCTCTGTCGAGTAGAACAATCTTAATTGGATATTCATTGTATATAATTAATTGGAATTCCATATCACAGTGACAACTCGAACATCCACTGGCATTTCTGATCAATGAAAGCTAATTTTGTATTTTTTCGTCTCGGTAATGGATCTGTGAAGACAATATATATAACATGGATAAACATTTTTGTATTGAATGATAACCGCTTTGTTGTACATAAATTGTTATTCTACTGGGAACAACAATACAAATTGAGATAAATATATATATACTAAGTATTAACCTTATGCATAAAATATCTGCTCTATGTTATTTGTGGCCTTCATGTTTGTCATCGAGAACATGTATAATTAATTATTAGCAGATAATGCTTATGCAAGTTCATCAACAAATACATTGGCTTTCGTAGGTAACTTTTAAAACAATAATCAGCACATGCTTAGATATGCCTTCATATTATAATTTGACAGAGATCTGTCTGGGAGTAATGAAAATTATAATAAATGTAACTTAAAACCGTTTTGATATTTGCTTTCTTAGTCTATACAATTTTCATTATCATTATAACTACTGTTTAATTGCAATATCATTTACAATGCAATGCTAATGAAACAAATTAGATTTGTCCTTGCTAAAGCTCTGTAGCAAAGTAAATAAGTTTGTTGGGTCAGAAATCACCGACTGCATGAGAAACGAACTCGAACTGCCTCTCCATGCTTCCATCCGCATCTAGCGTGTCATCAATAAAGTGCATTTCGACATGTTCCTGAAATGCCTTGAACGAAACTTGGCTGGAGTAAAGCTTGCCGCACATGGGGCACGTCTTATCGATGGCATCAGCCTTCAGCTTTTCCTGGATGAAGTTTAAGCGGGGAGCGGGCACGACCGATGATGAATGCCCGTTGATTGTGTCGAGCACTTGGCTTATTGTGTGCTCATTGTTGCTGTACCGCTTGGGCTCGGTGTTATCTTCAGTCTCTAAGCTTTTATCAGCCATTTCCGGCTTGTTGGCTGCCTTGCGCACACACTCCGGACACGGATTCATCGCTGTGACAAGATAAAATAATAATATTACATTTGATTAATCGAGTATAGACCGCTGACTCACCAATGCGCGTCTCCAACTGTGAAAGGGCGGAATTGAGCTCTTGCTGTTGTTTCATCGCCTCCCGGCGCAAGTCCTGCAAGCCTTCCATGCACTGCTTTGCATCTACATTGGTGTCCAGCTCGTTTACAGTGTTAGGGTCGTCCACATTCAGTCCACATGGATAGCCTAGTTCTACCTCGCTACCATCAAATTCGTCCAGTGGAATCTCCTCTAGACTGACCTCTGTTATCATCTTCTGACGCAAGTGCGGATTTGGCGAGTGCTGGGTAAATGTTTTAGAACGAATGAGGTTCTGATTGGCACCAATTGAAACTTTCCCCGCGCCTCGAGCGTGTGCAGGCATGGCCACTTCATCGTCTTTCGATTCGTGTTGCTGGTCTTTGGAGATTTTCGACAGATGAGACCACAGTCTTCGGTTTTCGTTAGACACCATGCTTATTTGATCCTCCAGCTGTTCCTTTTGGCGTTGCAGTTCATCTAATTGCGAGCGTAGCGACGAGACATCGTTACTGCAGTCTGTTTTCTCCTGTGCACTGCCATTGGCGGATGACGACCCAAAAGTGCCCTCGCGTAATCGTTGATTTTCCTCCTCCATGTTAGAAACACGTCGTTGCAATTGTATGCAGCGCTCTTTCATTGTCTGCAATGCCACTTGCAATGCGTAGTTCATTTTGTCAGTGGAGTTAGAAGTGGTGCTAGCTAAGGAATTTGTTGAGTTTTTCACAGTTTTGGTAGTGTCCATAGTGAGCCTGTTAACAAACTCTCGTAGCAATGTATGTAGAGAATCTCTAAATTACTATTAGATATCTGTTTCGCAGCTTAGCTGTTTTCATTTTTCTCAAATGTAATGACGAATGTTTATTTATCTATCGATACGACATATCGATGTATTTACATAGTTGCAAGCTCTGTGCTGCCAGACTGTTCAAAATTTTTATTCTATCAGACCAGAGAGGCAAATTTAAATAACGTTAAAATAAAAGATAAAATGACGCCAGAAAACTTTACGTTTTGGGCAGACCCATTATAATTATCTAAATAATAGGAATAATAATTCATAATTAAAAGAATGATATAAAGAATATCGGCAGTTATGAAACATCGCTCAAGTACAGGGCTGTTAATGCAAGGCCCTCAACAGCTGTAAAAATGTTGTTATGCGGCAAAAGCTTAGTAAATAATTTCTTTAAATATAAGAGAAAAGTGTTTTCAAACATTTTAGTGAGTAGCCGACGGTGTAAGGCGACCATTCAGCAACCCAAAATTTTGTTCTTTGGCACTGATAATTTTTCACTGCCAAGTTTGAAAAAGTTGCACCTGAACAACTTTGACGTAAGCGTAGTTACCTCCATCAAGAGTCCCGCGAACTGTGTGCGCAGCTATGCCGAACAGCAAAAACTCGCCCTCTACCGCTGGCCAATATCGGAGGAGCAGTGTGCCGCCTACGAGCTAGGCGTAGTGGTATCGTTTGGTCACCTGATACCTTTACATATAATAAACGCGTTCTCCCGCGGCATTATCAATGTCCATGCTAGCTTGCTGCCCCGATGGCGCGGTGCTGCGCCCATCATGTATGCCATAATGGAGGGGGACACCAAGACTGGCATTACCATAATGAAGATAGCTCCACATCAATTCGACATTGGCCCCGTAAGCAGAACCTCGGCATCAATCCTACTATTTCGTTTAACTCACGTGATCCAGCTTTCAGATATTGGCCCAACGGGAGATGCCCATTAGAAGTGATATTTATATGCCGGAGTTGCATTCTGCCTTGTCGCATTTGGGTGCCGATTTGCTTGTCGACACCGTGAACAACTTGGATGAGAGACTCTTGAATGCGTCTGCTCAAAACGATGCTGATGCCACTTATGGTAGACTTTTATATATGCATATATCCAAGTCATTCGTATCATCAAAATTATTTTACAGCACCGAAGATTACGTCAAAGATCACAGAGGTTCGATGGTCACAGCAAACCTCAATGGAGCTATTTGCCCGGTATCGCGCCCTCTATGGATTTAAGAATCTAACTACCTCTTTTCTGGGCAAAGCTGTGCAGCTGCTGGAGCTAAAGCCCCTTGAAATTCAATTGCCAACGTCTACACTTCTAGCCCCGGGTTCCTTTTACTTCCATCGTCTGCGCAAATCGCTTATGATCGGTTGTGCACAAAAAACCCAGCTGGAGGTGCTACAACTGAGAGTCGAGGGCAAGAAGCCAATGAGCGCTCATGATTTTAACAATGGATTTCTTAAGCGGGCGCAATCGTTACAGTTCACGCAAAATAAATTAGTTAATTGTTAACAAATGAAACTGCTTTTATTATTGCTAAGGATGCTTCCTAAGCCAGGTTGGACGGCTTAACTTCTTTGGTGTCCGAGGATTGCTGTGTCGACTTCTGCAGCAGGTTCTTAGTGAACCACATGGGACGAGGCTTCTTCATTTCAACTATGCGTTTGCCGGTAGCAGCATCCGTCGCTTGATCTGCCGTCTCGCCCTCGTACAAAATGATTACTTCTTTCTCGACAGGTTCCAGCCCTAATTGTGCTTGTATTTTATCCTGCATGAGCTGAGTTTCCTGTCGCACTTTGTCATAGCAGTGAGCTGTAAAAAAACAAATCATTTATATAACTACGAGTTTGCTATAGGGGCAACACAACTTACGGCACAGAAGGCCCAATTCGTAATCGTGACCACAGTGCTGACAGGAGCGTAGATTCCTCTTCTCCTTCAGTGGTTTCCATACATACTCAGGATAGCCAAATTTGCGGTTTAATCGTTTCTCCACACTGCGCCGGTGCTTTGGCACAGCCCAGAGCATGCCATCGCCAATAAGGTCTTTCAGACTGAAACTCTGTGATGTGCTGGTGGTCGAACTTGTAGGTTGGTGCACTAAATAGGCTAAGGCGGGCGGGGGTCCGCTGTGGGGCAAGAACAGTCGCTCCAAATGATTGACAAAGTTTGCAATTGATATAAACAAATTACGAGACATGGTTAAGCTGAAATTGTAGAAGTAGATTTATGTAAATGTAGTGATGGCCGCGACTGTTATCGAAAATTCAATGCGATATATGGCATGTCTATCGGTAAACTCTGTAAACAATTTGCTTAATTTCCATAGATAATGAAGGCAAAATGCTTAGAGTTATTTGACAAATATATGTTGGTTATTTGGATGAATCAATATACATTGTGACAAGGCGTTGATATTTTAATTTTCATTTAATAACTATTGAACTTGTGTTAGCGATTTAATCGATACAATCCGCGTGCACGTCAGCTGATTGACAGTGTAAAGTAAGTTGTCAGCTCTGGTTTTCCTAGTCGGCGGCTTGCACAGCTGTTATTTCATTATTACGTCAAAACAAAAAGTGTGTGGTGTCGAAATATATAAATGTGTTAAATGAAAAGCGAGATAAACATTTAAAGCAAAGCTTAAAGGAAAGCTGTATGAAAAGCCTTTAGGAGAGCAGGGTAAACGTGAAAACATGATGTTGATGGTCGCGCAACAGGCGTCTTGACAGACATTGGGCGGCGCAGGAACTTAAGTGAAGACATTCAGCCAAGGTTGAATACAGTGCATCCCAAACTGCTTGATAGACATGCAGTTTTCATCTGCCGCCGAATCTTAAATCCCACCAACGTCAAGTTCAAAATCACTGCGCTCGGGCGTTCTCTTCGGCTGACATTCGTATTTCAACACACGAGCACAGAAACTCACCACGCTCAAAGCGACGACCGCGCGCAGGCGTAGCAAGCTACGTGCGCAGACAGCGGTAAAACGCGGAACACTTCGCTGAAGCTGCTGCAGTTGGACGCAAGCAACGCGCTTTGTCCGTCTTCTCAACAATCTCGTCCCGTCGAAGTTCGCCAATCCGCGTGTGTGCATGTCTGTCAGCATATCTCTGCATCCACCTGAGTAACTGTAGCCATAGCCGTAGCCGTAGCTGTAGCTGTGTCGTCTTTTAGCGAATCGAAACCCATGCCTAGAATAATGCTGTTCAACGTCTAACAATTTTGTTCACGTTTCATCAAGTTTTGCAGTTTTGCAGTGCAATTGCAACAGCAAGGGCTTGAGTTCACGCTTAACGCTAGGCACTTGTTTTCAGCCGACGAATAGAAAACCCAAATCAACCGAAATCTAAATCAAAACAAACCAAAACAAAATAAAACGATATAAACAAAATGGCCTGCTTAAGTACTTCCGGTCGAGTCGCGTGCGGTTCGCGTAGCCACAAGTTGATCTGTCGCCTATTCCTGAACCACAGTCCGCATAGTCGGCAGAGCAGCAGCCAGCTGCTGACGGGCGACACCACGGCAGGACACCCAAGGGAATACAGAGCGACGCCCAATCAGCAGCTGGCTCGCAGCTTTCATGGATTAACTCTCGGCATTAACCAGGATTACCTCAATCTGCTGGTGAGTAGAAAAAGCGGCGGCAATGACATCAACTGCAACACCCAGTGGCCCCACACTCGGTGGCCCCCAACCCGTTTAGCGGCCATTTAACAAAAGTGCATTGCGCATGCGCGCAGAGTGTTTACCGCTAATGCGGCTGCGTGACTTCGGATTTTTTCTTTCTTTCTCTCTTTCATTTTTTCGCTTTTCATTTCGCTGCTGCGAAGCCAAAGCCAAAGCCAAAAGAAAATGAAAGTGAAATTGTTGCTTGGCAGTCGCTCCGGCTCTGGCTCTGGCTCAGTCTGTGGCTTGCTTTTTGGCCATTGCTTTTGTGCAGGCAGCGTGAAGAAGCAGAAAGCAAAAGGCCGTCGACAACAGTTGCCAGACATTGAAGTTGTTGCTGCTGTTGTCGCTGTCGCTGTCGCTGTTGCTGTTGCTGTTGCTGTTGTGCATGCAGCGCAGCAATGAGCGCTGCTGCTTCTGCCTCTGCCGCTGCTTGCGTCTCTGCTCCGAAGCCTCTTTTGCTGATTTTGTTTGGCGGAAGCCTTCGTACTCATTTATTTATTGTGTTTATGTTGCACTTTTTTTGGTCTTGTTATTTTTATTTGCAAGTTGAAATATTTTTTCATTTTTATATTTATACACACACACACCCATACATGTATACTTTTTTTTCCTATAATATTTTCTAATGTCATTCGTTTCATGCCTTTATCTTTTCTCTTTTCTTCTCATTTCGCTGAAAACAGAAATTATTGTTATGCAACTTCTTTTGCTTTCATATATTCACATAAATATATATTTATTTATTATTGTTTATCGCTGCAAAAGTTTAACAGCTGTTTGTGAAGTCGAAGCACAGCACAGTGGCTCTGAAACCTCGAAGCACCAGCTCATTTCAAACTGCGTCAGCAACAAGGGCGCATTCTGTGGCATTGTTTTCATATTTTTTTTAAGCCCTGAATTGTTTATACCTTTTTAGATTCAAATAGGTTTGTTATACTAGCAAAAAAAAAATCAATAAAATTATTGGAAAATTCAATATAAATGAAACCAGACACCTTGTCGTATACTTGATGTTTCGGTTTCCATTCTTTATTGAGCTCGTTGCCTTGAATATGCGCGGGCTTAAAACATTTTAACACTGCACAATTAGTGCATAATTGATGCTATTTTCAGTTTATTGTTTTATAGCACGCAATTTTCGCTCGCCTGCGTATGGCCCTGGATGAGAACTTGAGGTTCGGCTTAATGGCTTAATGCCAGTGCACTTTTCGCAGTCCACAATCGTCAGTCCAATGCAGTTATGCGGCGCATTGCTAGGGCTATAAAATGCGATGTAAATAGTATGCTTAATAATGTAAACGCCTTTCAAGGTCTTGGCATAAATTAACAATATTTGTTTTTGAATCTAAGCATACATATGTGATACAAGTATGTGTGTGTGTGAATTTAACTGGCCGTGTCCATGTCTGTGTGAGTTGGGGTCTCGGTTCGGGCATGTGGTATCAAAGGTAAGAAGGGCAGTTGCCCCTATAAATCACATTTCAATTAACTCCTTTGACCCAATGCTCGTTTAAATTGCTAAGCAAGACAGTAACTTATTAAATGACTCTAAATAAATTATTAGAAAAGTGAAATAAGCAAAATGAATGCTCAAAGCGAACTTTGTATGCAGGCGACGTTGTTGGATTATTTATGCATTTTTACTGCTTGAAATTTGGTTAAGCCAAATAAAAATTCATTCAACGCCAATTGGTTGTACGCTTAGCACACACTCGCATACCTGAGACAGTGATACGTTCATCTAACTCTATCATAGGTAAACAATAAACAAAACGCAAATAGAAAGCGCACGTCGCAGCAGCAGCGGCGCGGCCAGCGGCAACGGCAGCGGCAATACTAGCCAAAAAAAAAAAAAAAATAAAAAAAAAAAAAAAACGCCAACAATAGTCTTCAATAGCAACAACAGTTATATATGTATATGTATATATGTGAAACTCACTTGACTTTCATCTTCATTTCATTTGCTTAGCAGCGACGTCAGCGTCAGCGTCGCAGTCGCAGTCGCTACCGCCTCTCATCCAAGTTAGCATTGTTTTTGGCCCAAAATTGTATTGAGAGTCGAATACATGAATATACATATCTGCATGGGCATATACATATGTATGTATGTGTACATACTTATACACTTACATGGTGCAAATAACTGTTCATCTATGAATGCGCTACACGAAAACTTGAACTAACGGATTGACTTGAATTGGCCGTTATCATGATCGCCTCGTTTGCCTCGATATGTTTCATATTCGAAATTACACGACTTAACAAATTTCATGAACTCTGCCTCCGCATGTATTCAATTTCGCATCACTTTCGTTGCGAGCGCGAGAAATTTGCACGGCGAGTTTAACGACTGCGTGCGAATTTGATAAGCAGTTTGAACTGTTTGATCAGTGTCATGCATGCCCCAATATTTGCATATTTGCATTTGATGGGCTATAGAGCAAGTCAACAAAATTATAACAAATGAAACACATACATTGACGTCGTTAGGTCGAGAGCTTCCTTTGTCTGAATCTTAGTTTCGCAATCGGCATTCGGCGCTTGCTGGACCCAAATCTGAATCTCGATGGCTTGCGAAAGTGAAACCAATTCGACTTGCACGGTCTTGGACCTGTTTTTAATTTTATTTTACTATTTGTGTTTATGCTATGTAAATTGTTTTGTTGCTCTTGGATTTTATTGTCTTTTATTTATTTTTTTTTTTTTCTGTTTCATTGTCGAATATATGTAAATACATATATGAATGGGAATTAGACCTAACCCAAGAAATTCTCTGTTGAAATGTAAATTCCAGTTTACACAATTTTGTTAACGAAACCAATTTAGTTAAATGCTCTTTGTATATTTAAATAAGAACAACAACAAAATATAATAAAAAAAAAATAATAGACGTTGTAATTTTCAATTTATAGCCCATTCATAAATTTTTTATTCATATATTCATGTTTGTAAGAATACATGAATATAAATCTAACAATTTTTGTGAACATAATTATGTGTTTATTATTATTAACAGAATATTAATGAAATTCGACAGAGAATTGAGTTTCAATCACTGGGAATTAAACTTAAACCATTTCAGACAACGTCTGTGACTTCTTAAATAAATTGTCATCCCAACCGTATACGTGTTGTCCCTATCAATCTTCTTCTCAAACTTATATTGGGTTTTCCATCCTTTTAAGATTGGACTAAATGAATTGATATTTTTGCTGAGAATTACCCTCATCAGATTTCTAAGCAATCCTTTAGCAGGTATCAATTGTCTATGGCTAAAAACCATATTTATTCCATCATATAGTTCTCCTGTAAGTAGTATAAATCAAACCATATATATTCTATCATATAGGTCTCCTGTAAGTAGTATAAATCAATATATATTTCACAATTCTCTAGATGGTCTTCGCTCAAAACCAATATACTCCTCTTACTACGTGAACGAGTATATAAAGTTACTTTATCGCAAACCTCACTGATTGGCGTAAAATAGAATTGGACTAAGAACAATTTATGTATATACGAAATTATTTATTTATAAGAGCATCCGGATAGCGGCTAACGATGATTGCATTATGTCTCAAATTGTGGGCAAAAAACAAATTTGCGTTTGAATACCAAAAGTATAAATAGTGAAAGAAAATACTAAATACTCTGGCTAAATGGTAACACCAGCACCAACAACAACAACAACAAGAGCAACAATATCTGTCATATATACATGATGTAGCCATATCGTAAATCTTTGTCTTTGTTACCATGTCTTCATTTTTGTTTTTCGCGCTGGACACTTTCACTGGCAACTGGGCATTGCGAGCCGAGCTGGGCCGCGCCGAGAGATTGCCAAAAAGTATTTAAGGAATGCAGCAAAATGTGTGAGAGACGCCGAGAGATGCTGAGCATTCTGCATATTGAATAACTTAACTTAATTCAAAAAAAAAAAAAAAAGCGATGTAAATCAAACTGGAAATTGACGGATCATTCAGTCTTAGGGTCTAATTGAACGATTGGCAACGTAACGTAGATCTGATCCCGAGCATGCCTAAAATACAAGCGTAGCCAGCGACGACTTTCATTCACCTCACCTGCCTCACCTGTACACCTGCTTGTCGTATTTTTTTTCTTTGGTATGGGCATGGCTCGGTTGGGTCTGGGCCTGATGGCCGTTTGGTTATTTCGCTTCATTTCTTCGGCTCGTACTTGCTGACCCAATTCCAGAGACGCATGCGTTTCGTGGCTGTAGCTTGTCCTAAACTGGTTTTTGTGGTTGCGGCCCGCTGCCGCATTGATTTGCAGACAAACTGTTAACTGTTAATGATTGCTGTTGCTGCTGTTGTTGTTGTTGTTGTTGTTAACATTTTCGGGTTTCGATTTGAAAGCCAAAGAAGCGCCGCCGCTACAGCGTGAAACAGTTAAACTTAAAATCAAGTTTGCACTAGCAGCACCAGCCTCAGCAGCAATTGCATAACTGCCCCCAACCCAGCCCTACAGCCTCTCAGTTGGGGAGGCCGATCCCAGCTGTCGCCCCACATTCCATCAATGTCGGTCAACCAGAGACGCCAGCCTAACATATGCATCACCTGCACAATAAACATAACATGCAAATGCGCAATGCCTGGCGACATCAACATACTCTGAAGCTTTACATCACATGCTAATTTCTTTTTCTCTACACCCTCCTGGAACTGAAAATCAGGATATGATGGTTGTGTTAAATGCATGAAACAGGCAAAAGGAGACGTGGTACACCACTTAAAGTGCATATATTCTCGATCGAGACGACGGGCTGACTCAGTTTAGTCCTGTTCGTCTGTCTGTATTATTGAACGCGTTGATCTCGGAACATATTAGAGTTACAGACTTCATATTTTTCTGGTTTCTTTATGACGCTGATCGATTTCGACTTCACAATATCGATATCTATATTACTTTTAAGGTTATCGATTAAAAATCAAATT